AACGCATTTTCAAGAACAAGGGCAATAACTCATACTAAATATTTTTCAATTTTTCTGATTTTCGATAGGGTTTATCCTTGGGCTCATACCAAGTTTCATCAAAATCAGTCATGAAAAGCACCTTCTAGAGTGTTTACGAGCATTTCAAGAACAAGGGCAATAACTCATAGTAAATATTTTTGATTCGTCTGATTTTCAATAGGGTTCATCCTTGGGTGATTACAAACAACCATACCAAGTTTCCTCAAAATCAGTCAGGAATTGTGCCTTCTAGAGTGTTTAGGAGCTAAAAATTGAACGCGTTTTCAAGAACAACGGCAATAACTCATACCAAATATTTTTCGATTTTTCTGATTTTCAATAGGGTTTATCCTTGGTTGATAACAATCACTCATGTCAACGTTCGTCAAAATCCACCAAGAATTGTGCCTTCTAGAGTGTTAACAAGCTAAAAATTGAACGCGTTTTCAAGAACAAGGGCAATAACTCATTCTAAATATTTTTTCATTCTTCTGCTTTTCAATAGGGTTCATTCTTGGGTGATTACCTACATGCAAACCAAGTTTTGTCAAAATCCATCCAGAAATGTGTCTTGTAGAGTGTTTACGAGCAATTGTGGATGGACGGACGGATCGACGAACGGACATGGGTGACGGCAATATACGCCCCCCCCCCCCCTTTCATGTGGGCGTATAAAAATGTTTCATAGGAGTTATTGACCTTGTGATATTGATATTATTGATATTCAGCTTGTGAACACTAAAAAGCACGGTTTTTGCCAGTTTTTGACAAAACTTGGTAATATTATTCACTTTCGCCCTAAAGAGTTCAAAAGAAGTGTATGACTGAAGGTTGAATATTTCATACTAGTGATTTTTACTTTACTGCCAAATATTTTTATTCAAAATCAAAGCTACCAGTGGGCGTATATTACCTTGCCCGGCAAGCTATCTTGATATAAGCTTAAGTATGTTGATAAAATATTGGGATTGCATTTGAAAATCATTTGATGATCTGCTGGTTGAGTAATTGACCTTGACATCTGAGACAAATGCAAATTTAACCAATTTACCCTATGATAAGTAATATCTAGTTTTTTTGACAGATACTGTGTGTTTTTCAGATACCTTGCTTGGAATGCTTTTATTTTTCATCAGTTCATTCATTTCTACATTTATAGTTGTTCCTCACTGAGTGATTAATAAAGATTGACAAACTGTAACTACAGTTCTCTTAAATCTAACAATAAATCAATTAAGCAGACCATATCATTGTTCACAAAGTTTTATATCTACCTTGTGTTTGATTTTCTTGTCCCCATCTATATCTTCAACAGGTTGATTATTGATTTTCACACTTGGTGGTTTGATCTCTTCCTTCTTAGATTCAGTTACCAAATTGTTGGATATTGGTGTAGGGAACGCCTCTTCCAATACACTATTTTTTATTTCTTCATCTTTATTAACTTTAGGCTTCGGAATTTGAGGTTGGGGAGATTTATCAGTTTTGACTTTGGATGCAAATGATAGATCTAGTGCAACAGCTTCTTCTGGCATTAATTCAATGGTTTCTTCTTTCACCTCTACACCAGGGTGTTCAGGACTATCATCAAATGCAAATACCTTCATTTCATCAGTTAGATATTTCTCTGGTAGTGCAGGTATGTCCACTTTTTTAGCAATAGTCGACAAAGATTTCGATATAAGTTTCTTTTTTAATTTGTCTCTAACACCTTTGTCCTTTGTAGATTTGGATTTGACATCTTTGAGTTTTCTTTTCTTTTTCAAGTTTTGTTCTTTTTCAGATTGAGGTGGACCTATTAAAGAACTCTTTTGATCAGATTCTGTTTCAATTTTCATATCGATACATGAAGAATCATTGTCTTCTGATGATTGACGAACAACAGAATTGATAGTTTCATCAAAAGAATCTAATGTTTCTTGGTTTGGTTTAACAAAATCTTGATCTTTTTTCATCTCTGAAACTTCAGCAGCAGACTGTCTTATAACAGCATCAATACAGTCATCAACAGCAGCCAGACGAGCAAACTTTTCTTTGTTTTTCACATCAGCATCTGAAGCTATAACAAGACGCTCTGGTGAATTACCTTGGGATTTTAACGATTCTTGATCTGGATCACGTAACTTCTGAATATTGGCAGTAAATAGATCTTCGGAAGTTAAATGTGTTTCTTTCTTAACTTCTTTAGCAGCTTTGTGTACTTTGTTTGCTTTTTTCTTCTGAATTAATTTTGAATCTTTCAACATCTTTTTGGATTTCTTCTTATCAACCAAGTTACCAACCCCAACTTTACAATCAACATTTTTCTTTTTCAGGCCATCTTTATGAAGTTTTGATTTGACCTTGAACTTTTTCTCAATTTTCATTCCTTTGCCAGATAACATTGAGGAATTGTTATTAGATTTATTATCAGAATCATCAACTACATCAACATCAGATCTTTCTTTTTCACCTTCTTGATATTTTTCTTTGAATTTCTCTCTTATATGATCTGAAGGAGATGATTGTACATCACGAAATAAGCTTTGTCTGAAACCAGCAGGGGGGGTACGATTGTCAGGCAGCTTTCCTTGTCGTTTTGGAGTTAATTCTCCTTCATGTGTCATTTCTACACTCATCATTTCATACTGTGATGGGTCAGCTTCTGGTGGAAGGGTAGCATTACTAACCCTGAAAATACCAAAATGATACAGATAGTGGATCACAGCCAAATAATCCCACTCTTATAAAATGTGATTTTATCAAAAATCTTCATTGGCATGTTAGAAGAAAGATAGCTTGCCAGGCAAGGTAATATACACCCACTGGCAGCTTTGATTCTGATTAAAAATATTTAGCAGTACAGTAACAATCACCAGTATGAAATATTCAACCTTTAGTTATACACTTCTTTTGAACTCTTTAGGGCGATACTGAACAATATTGATCAATTTTTAGATCGTGAAAACTCTAGGAGACAAATATTCAATCTTCAGCTCGGGACTGAATAATGAAACCAAGTTTTGTCAAAATCCAGTAAGAATCATGCCATGCCTTTTAGTGTTTAAGAGCTAAATTTCAAAGCGTTTTCCAGAAGAAGGGCAATAATAAATATTTTTCAATAGGGTTCATCCTTGGGTGATAACGAACATTCATATCAAGTTTCATCAAAATCTGTCAATAATTGTGCCTTCTAGTGTGATTACGAGCTAAAATTTGAAGGCGTTTCCAATAGCAAGGGCAATAACTCATACTAATTATTTTTTGATTTTTCTGATTTTGAATAGGGTTTATCCTTGGGTGATAACAAACACTCATGCCAAGTTTGGTCAAAATCCGTGCAGAATTGTCCCTTCTGGAGTGTTTACAAGCTAAAAATTGAACGCGTTTTCAAGAACAAGGGCAATAACTCATACTAAATATTTTTTGATTCTTCTGATTTTAAATAGAGTTCATCCTTGGGTGATAACAAACACTCATGTCAAGTTTCGTCAAAATCCGCCAAGAATTGTGCCTTCTATAATGTTTACGAGCTAAAAATTGAACGCGTTTTCAAGAACAAGGGCAATAACTCATACTAAATATTTTTCGATTATTCGATTTTCAATAGGGTTCATCCTTGGGTGATTATGAACACTCATGCCAAGTTTCGTTAAAATCCATCAAGAATTGTTCCTTCTAGAGTGTTTACGAGCTAAAAATTGAACGCGTTTTCAAGAACAAGGGCAATAACTTATACTTAAGTGATAACCAACACTCATACCAAGTTTTGTCAAAATTCGTCAAGAATTGTGTCTTGTAGAGTTTACGAGCAATTGTGGACGGACGGACATGGGTGACGGTAGGTAATATACACCCCCAATTTCATGTGGGCGTATAGGGGCGTATAAAAAGAAATACATATTCAGTATGTCATATGATTGTGGACAGTTCCACTTAAATATCAATGTGCACACTTAGCGTACCTTAGTCGTTTAGATGGAGGACCTTCTGATGATGACGCTGTTAATTTACAATCAGTTGGTGTTGGACTTGCATCAATTTGACTTGTTATCTCTGGAGTTAAGCCAACAACTTCACTTGGTAGATGCTCATCAATATCATCTGTAAGTGAAATATTCTAAACAAATCGAAACAAACTATTGTCAACAGCAAGTTGACTCATTTAATTTAATGAATCATAGACATACAAACTGTAGTGATATTATTGTTTTTGTATCTGGCCATCTTCTGAACCTACTCATCTGCAAGCTGTGTCCCAAAATTCACAGATCAGATTGTTAATGATTTAGATTTATATGTCATTTGTGAAAAAATTTTTTTTTTTAATTTACTAGTAAACAGAAAGATCAATACTGGAATGCAATCTAAAAAAGATAGCTTGCCAGGCAAAGTAATATACGCCCACTGGCAGCTTTGATTTTGAATAAAAATATTTAGCAGTACAGTAACAATCACCAGTATGAAATATTCAACCTTCAGTCATACACTTCTTTTGAACTCTTTAGGGCGATACTGAATAATATTTAGTATGAGTTATTGCCCATGTTCTTGAAGACGTGTTCGTTTTTAGCTCGTGAAAACTCTAGAAGGCTAATATTCAATCTTCAGCTCGAAAATAACTCATACTAAATATTTTCCTGATTTTCAATAGGGTTTATCCTTGATTGATACAAACACTCATGCCAAGTTTTGTCAAAATCAGTCAAGAATTGTGCCTTCTAGAGTGTTTACGAGCTAAAAATTGAACATGTTTTCAAGAACAAGGGCAATAACTCATACTCAATATTTTTCGATTCTTTTGATTTTCAATAGGGTTCGTCCTTGGGTGATTACGAACTCTCACACCAACTTTTGTCCAAATCCGTCAAGTAATGTGTCTTGTAGAGTGTTTACGAGCAATTATGGACGGACCGGCGGACGGACATGGGTGATGGCAATATACGCCCCCCATTTCATGTGGGCGTATAAAAAGTATTGTTGATTAAAGAAAACCAAATTTATATAGCCAACAAACCTTTTCCCCCAGGAAACATATGAGGTAGATATGCTGGAACATGTTCTTCTCTGTGCTGCAAGATTTCTCTACTTCTTGGATTTGAGAATTGTAAGTTATTCCGTTTTGGTGCTGGAAATGCAACAGTTTCTTTGGCAAATGGGATTGGTTCCACATGATTTATATATTCTGTCAACTCCTCTAAACTAACACTCATTTGTTGAAAAGCAAGACCAACATCATCTAAATTAACCTCAGTTCTTCCAACTGTAGAGGAATAAGTTAAACAGTAACATAGACACAGTATTCCAAAAAAAAGAATTCTTGACATCATAATTCATAACAAATGTGATCAAAAGTGTAAAGATAGCTTGCCAGGCAAGGTAACATGCGCCCACTACAAGCTGTCAGAAATGATAAAGTCTGTAGTGGTTTAATATGACTTGTGAAACCAATCATCCGATTTCTACTAATTTCAGGCTTTACTTGGTCTCATACCAAATTCATCAAAAAACGAATAAAAAAATTTAGTCTCTATCAGGCCTACAAGCTAAATTAGACGCACTGAATTAATTCAAGGGCCATAACTCCAAAACGATTCATCCAATTATTAACATTTTTGAACTTGAGATCTCATCAATATATACGTATACATACCAAGTTTCATTGAGATCAGATAAAAACTGCACCCTGTATCATGACTACAAGCAAAATTTGAATTGTTTAACTATTGTGCACGAAGTTGGCATTTTAAACACACCACGCTTCGCGGCGGGAAACTCACCAAACGTGACATTATTAATGTGTCAGACATTCTCAATTCATCAAATAGTTGTGTCTGAATGAAACTAATTGATTTATTTACATATTAGCATATTTTACATTCATAATTTATTGTAATTTGATATTTTTCATATGTCAGAGTCAAGATTTGCATAAAAAAATTGACAACGGCAGCCATCTTGCATATTTCCAGATGTGACGTAATACTTGTTCGCGCGTGTCACCTTAACCCCCTTTCAATGACGTCAACTTCAGCTTTCGTCAGTCTATCTCTAACTTCGGCCAAGTAAAGACGTAGTTAGCGTTCTCTTACAAAAGATGGTAAGAGACACTGCAGAAACGTCGGTCACTAAGCCCATGCCATTTTGAAATTAAACATCCCTACCCTGTCCCACCTTGCCTCTAAATCCACCCACAATTAAATCACACTGTTTCTTCGGCCATTTTTGTTCAGTTTGACATATTACTAGGCCTATTAGAATTGGTTTTGTTACGATCGCAACACGAAAACTTAGAATTACTTTGAGAATTAAAATAGCAAAGCTACATCATATATCCTTGCCTACGTTCATTTAGACATAAATATTAAGTCCACTTGAATGATAGATTTTGTAATGATTTAGGATCTTTGCCTTGATTCTTGTCATGTTGTGATTACAACATATAGGCTTATCTATTGAATTGATGTCACTGTCAGAACATTAGGAAATTGATTCTTTCGGACTATGTTTATCTAGACGCAACTTATTAGGTCCATTTAAACAGTAATAATAGTTCATTTGAAAGTTATGAATTTAAGTTCTGGCATATCTTTATAATAACAACTTCATTAGAAATTTAGCATCGTTGCAATCGTAACATTGCCACATATCGTTGTAATTGTAACATATCGTTGTAATTGTAACATATCGTTGCAATCGTAACATTCGTTGTAATAACGACGACCGTTGTAAAAATAACAAACCTTTACCTTTATCCCTTTACTACTTGATTTAGATGAATGAATTTGACTCTGACATAGTTATTGTACTATAGATATTTTATTGAAGTATTTTAAGTATTATTGTTAATAAATTTGTTATGTTTTTATAAATTGGGTTATCTTTTATCAAAGTGCTAGGCTGACACGAACCCCACAGTAACGAGACAGGAGGCGTTACACTCTATCGCGCCTAAAAGCCAAATTTGACGTGATTTTACTAAGTCAAGGGCAACAACTCTGAAACCGATAATTACCAATTTCGAACTTGACCGAGATCTCATCAATATATACATGCAAACCATGTTTCATTCAGATTGGATAAAAACTGTAGCCTCTATCGTGCCTACAAAAAATGTGAACGGACGGACGGAGAGGGGCGACCGCAATATACGTCCACATTTCCATTCTTTTGCACTCTTTAGGGCGATACTGAATAATATTGAGTATGAGTTATTGCCCTAGTTCTTGAAAACGTGTTCAAATTTTAGCTCGTGAAAACTCAAGAAGGTGAATATTCAATCTTCAGCGCGGTACTGAATAAAAAAATCCAGCACGAATCATACCTTTTAGTGTTTAAGAGCTAAAATTTGAAAGTGTTTCCAAGAATGAGGTCAATAACTCCTATGAAACATATTTCGATTTTCTGATTTTCAATAGGGTTTATCCTTGGGTGATTACAAACACTCACACCAAATCACGTCAACATCTGTCAAGAATTGTCCCTTCTAGAGTGTTTACGAGCTAAAAATTGAATGCATTTTCAAGAACAAGGGCAATAGCTTATACTAAGTATTTTCCGATTCTTCTGATTTTCAATAGGGTTCATCCTTTTTATGAGCAATTGTGGACGGACCTACGGATGGGCCGACATGTGTGATGGCAATATACCCCGCCCCCCTCCAATTTCATGTTGGCATATAAAAAAATGACATTGTCTAAAGTAATTGCTGGCACTATTTTGAAAAAACAAGTATTCTCTTCGCATCAAAGAACTGTGCCCGGCACACTGGCTGTAATATCTTTTCAGATTGTAACGTAATAATCAACTTTCATTTCTACCAGTAAGCTTTCACTTTTTTTTTTATCAATTTCATGCAAATTCTAAAAAAGCTTAATGATAGCTATGTATGAAGAGCTGAGATTAAAATTTTAATATCAGTTGAGAACAAATTAGATGAGAATATATCCATGATATTTTGTTTAATTCTATACTGGTACCAGTACTGGAAAGATATTTCATACAATATAAAAACTTACATTGTTCACAGTAACGATGTGATACATTTCCAAGTTCAAAAACATATCTTTCCAAAACATCTGTTAAGAGCTCTAATGGGGTAGTCTGTGTTGAATTCCATCCCAGATTCTGACATATCTGAGCAACAGAAATTCTTAAAACACTTCTGCAATATTCAGAAGCCATACTGAAAGCTAAAACAGAAAGATTAAAAATACCGTATGTACAGTCAAGTAACCTAATTTCGTGCTGACCTAATTTTCATCCCTCTCCAGAAATGATTAATAATTTACATGTGCGACCTCGAGTGACATCTGCTTGTTTTGATAAACATGGGTTATCAAGCGAGGTAAAATATATTAATGTATACTTTGACAAATACAAAACCGCGGATTCCAATTATTACCAAATATCACAATTTTTTATCATCCGAATTTCCATATAATCTGAAACTGTAATTGGTCTGTCGTCTGCTAGAATGTATTCCAATGAACGAAGTCACATGATAAACTAGCTGATTCTGTGGCGACAGAAAAATTCTATGGAGCACAATGAGGGCAATATTCTTATTATGTTGTCTCAATGACTTTTAGCAATAAATCACTTTTACGACAGTCACTATGTTTTTTTTATTGTTCTATGGAGGAATTGTCATTAGTTATAATGAAATATTATTAAATATAAATACTAAGATCCATACAACATGTTTTTTAGACTTATTTATAGATCAAACCATTGTACACGAAAATAGGTAACACATTTAGCAGCCATTGTTGAGTTGGTTACTCATGAAATACTGGTCAAAGTGAGGGAATCATAAAGAAAATCGAAACAAACCAATTATTTATTTTGTAGAATATCTGAGGAAACTTCTTAGACATAACATTTTTTCCATGTTGAATCCTGATATGTACGAATATAGGTTACAATAATATTTACAAGTTTACAATATGTTGGATAATACTAAATGTAAAAGTTTTAATAGCCATGATTATAAAAGGATGAAATAAATACTGCCACTGGTATTTTTAAATTCATAATGGATGAATTTCATAAGGCTCTTAAGCTATAAACAGTAAATTTTGTGTGGAAAATTGGTATACCTTATTTATGTCTGACGGTCTGTCCAGAACTGTATATATTATTAACACTCTGACTGGGAGTTTGTCCAGGTATGTATGTGGTATATACCCTTACAGATACAGTTAGGCTAACTTGACTTAGTTTGAGTTTGAGTCAGATTACTAATTCCATTCAGAAAGGCGCATGGGTAGCCTGTGAATCTGAACCGCAAACACTATGTTAGAATTCAGCTTTACCGTTAGACGTTCTTCTATTCAATAATTTCGTATTTAGTATCCGTCTGTTTTTAATATATTATTTATCTTTATTTTATCATCCCACAGGTATCTTTCTTTCATTTGAGTGAAACATTTTATTATTAGGATTGACCAATATTATAATCCGAAGATATAGTTGAGAATCATAGTATTACAAACTTTTATCCTAAACCGAATGCACCACTCTCAGTTAGTGTAAGATATGTAAACTGATAATTTATTTGTGCATTTTGGAACAATAAGGTTTTATATTATATTGGTATTCTTTCTCATTTCAATTTAATCTAGATTCACATCTTGAACGAGACCATATATTCTTGTCATGCGCACTTCTTAAATAGCGTTTGAGATAAATTGTTTACATCGGTTGTCATGAACTAACTTAGAGGAAAGACATAGCTTGGTTCGATTGCAGTGCTATTTTCGAGTTATAGCGTACGTTCATCCGTCCACAAGTAAGTATGTATCATTTACAGTGAACTCTCCAACCAATTGAATTTTACTTGAATATCTTGCCCCTGACGCCTACCACCACTAAGACTGGAGTGGAATTATTAAATCTCAAATTCTAAGATTTCATAGAATTTGCACCCAACAGGATGATTTTGAATCTGCCTGTAAACTAGTTTTTGACAAATGAAGGGAAAGAGGTTATTCAAAAATATTTCTTCGAAAAATTAAGAATGACACGTTTTCAGGCATTTTGAGAAGAAATACCCCCCTCTGACCTTTTATTGGATTCGGTTCATTTCCCTGTGTCGCACATGCGAGCACATACATGTTACCCATTTTTTCAAAAATAACAAGAACGGAAAATTGTTTGCGATGACCTAATTTCTTGCGGAGATCAAAATATCATATACCTAATTTCTTGTAAAAAATGCGATTTACAATATGTTGGCGAGACTCAAAAAGTGCTTGGAACGCGATTCAATGGCCATCGCTATGATATAGTGCATGGCAAGGATAGACCAATTGCGAATCACTTCAACCTTCCCGATCATTCAATTGATGACCTTCTGATTATGCCTATAGAAACAGTTTCTAAATCACCTAGCATCAAATTTAAGCTTAGACGTCTACAACGCGAAAGTTACTGGATCGATCAACTACAGACTGTGAGGCCAAATGGACTCAACATTCAACACGATAACCAGATAATACCCTTTATAACGACATCTGATTCTACAGCTACCAAAACCTCCATAATAGTCAAACGCCATTACTCAGAACTTCAGAACAAATTTCCCCATGTATACACAAAATGTTTGGTTGTAGCTTACAAAAGAAATCAAAATCTTAGCAATTTCTCTTTCACGGTAGACTTGAACAATGCCCATTTATCCTAGGAGTAGATATTTCTTCATATAAATGTATCATGTTATATCAATAGATTCATCGATTTTTAAGTTAGATTTCTGGGAATACTTATTTCAGGACTGGTGGCATGGCTATATACGATATATTATATAACATGCAGTGTATATTTGTGTGTGTGTCTTTTCAAATAAAATCATACTAATGACTAACTAATTTTCACATAATTAATAGACTTATCTATTGCTCTGTGACTTAGGCCAGTGCTTTCATTGAGACTCGTCTCAATAAAAACTAACACTAATTTACTCTTAGCCACTTAGTGACTTACTACTTATTTTATTATAGTTATTGACTAGTATACAAATACAATGATTTCTGAATTGAATTTTGCCAATCATTTTCAAGTTAATTGAAATATCAATTACAAAATACTACTGTGAGTCTTACATTTACTTTGGGTTAATAAAATTGTTAGCCACTGGAAAGTTATTATTTTTTATTATGATTTTACAGAGGGAAATTTTAAGTCCGAAAAGTACAGATGTTTCCTCAGATATTCGACAAAATAATTAATATTGGTTTGTTTCAATTTTCTTTGAAATTTCCTAACTTTGACACAATATTTTATGAGTAATCAACTCGACAACGACTGCAAAATGTATCACCTATTTTCGTGTACAATGTTTTATCTATAAATAAGTCCATAAAAACACATATGGATACCTGATATTATGATAACCTTTTCTTAGTATAATAATCTTTAATAATATTTCATTATAACTAATGACAATTCCTTCATCAAAGATCAATGATTTAAAAAAAAAATAGTGACTGACAAATTAAGGTATGTAAAACGTAAGAGTATTCATAGCAAAAAGTCATTGAAACAGGATTGAATTTCTTCTATCACTAATCAAACCTCAAAGGGATGTGTCCAAATTTATAAACACCCACATTCATATGTTATTATCAGTGGCGGAGCCGCAGGAGGGGCAGCCGCCCCCCCCCCACACAGCCCCGAAGGCTAGTTTTTTGGGCAAGGCATTAAAAAAAAAAAAATTTTTTTTTGAACAGCCCGATTTTTTTTTTTAGGAATTTAAAAATGAAATCATGTCTTTGCCCGAATATCCTATACTATAACTGTATTTTTTTTAAATTGATAGCCCAACTGTATTCTCCTATAATAATATTTCATAATTCATATTATTTAAGGATCGAAATCACTGCCCGAATGTCATTCATATGATTATATTTTACATATTTCAAAAATTGAAATCATAGCCCGAAAGTAGAGTTTAGAACTTTTTTTTACACAACCAAAAAAAAGGCAATTCGGGCACAGATTTCAATTTTTTTCAATAAATATTGTATGACATACAATATTTGTTAAAAAAAAATGAAATCTGTGCCCGAACTGAGATAGTTCGGTAAGGTTTCACCTAACAAGTTAACAAATTCCTTGGCTTACTTCCCTTGAAAAATAGATCATTTAATAATTAAACTGAATACTTGTGGATCTCCTAAGGGGGGTAGTATCATGTGTTCTAGAAAGAGTGAAAATACTCTGCCAATAACAATAGTGTTTCTCTCGAAGAGTTTACAAAACTCTCATAACTAAGTTAGAAATTCGGGCAACCTCAGATAATATATTAATTATTATGTTATCTTGTTTTACAGGGCAAAATTGTAAAGAGGCCTTGGGCCTAAAATTTACCCTTCTTATTCAAGATTTTATTATTATTATTATTAATCCTTGAGCGTTCAAATCCATGAGTGTCAAGAATAATCGTATTTGAATGTTAAAATGACGACTCGTCATTTTAAGATACTGTGATATATAGAAAATACATAGAAATCAAGACTAAAATCAACCCCCTTTTAATAGTACGCTTACAAAATAATTTTGAATTCATCTGTGTTTATAAATGAAAAAAATGAGTAATTAATGTATTATTCATGCAATTGGAAAACTGGATTTAGTTAAAGTAGCTGGCACACTTTTTCTGTCAGTAGAAATTTCAGGACTATCTTCCTTTAAGTTAGAAAATATCTTTTTACTTCTTTGGATTTCTGTGTGGTACTCTATGAATCATTAGGTTGAGGCATCAAGTAGTGAGAAAGTTTCTTGGTTTACCATCCTGGGTTTTTTGGACATGACCACTTTCTAGTCTTTATGTCTTAATCGGCTTTTGAATACAACACAATGATTTCAACTTAATTTTAAACAAACTGACTGGTATAGGCCTACCAAACACTACAAACTACAATTTTGTTATTCAGGCTGCCATCGCATCAATTCTTGTATGCATCCCATGGTAGAAGTGTAAAGCAATAATCTATTACATACAACCACTAATACACGCATCATTTAAACAAAACAAACCAGTCTCCTTTAAATAATTATTGGTTAATTTTCATTTTTTCAGTCTGTACGCTGTGAACTGAAGGTCTGTTTCAAGAAAAACAAAGAAATGGGATTACTAGATAGATTAGCTCGTTGGTTGGGAATGAAAAAGAAAGAAGCTAATGTTCTTGTGGTAGGATTAGATAACAGTGGTAAAACTACAATACTAAATTATTTGAAACCAGAAGAATGTAAATCTCATGACATTGTACCAACAGTAGGGTTTAGTGTTGAAAAATTTGCTAATAGTTCACTACAGTTTACAGCTTTTGACATGTCTGGGCAAGGTAGATATCGTAATTTATGGGAACATTATTATCGCGAGTGTCATGGTATCATATTTGTAGTTGACAGCAGTGATAAATTACGGATGGTGGTGGCTAAAGATGAATTAGACCAATTACTGTCCCATCAAGACATTAAAAATCGTAGAATTCCTATTCTTTTCTTCGCTAATAAAATGGACTTGAGGGATTCTGTGTCTAGTGTGAAATGTTCAAGTCTTATGGGTTTGGAACTAATACGTGATAAAGCTTGGCATATATGTGCCAGTAATGCTATGACAGGAGAAGGTTTACATGAAGGAGTTGAATGGTTAACAGACCAAATAAAAGATCTTGTTGATAAAAAAAATTGATATTTCCGATCTGCTTGATTGTTCAAATGGAATAAGTAATAGAGGGAGTGGGGGGAGAATTTACAACTGTAATACACTGCAGTATGTGTTTTTAAGCTTCAAAAGTATTTTTCATGCAGTTTATGATAAGATTGCAAGCGAGAAGTGAATTAGCATGCATGACTTTGTTATTGTATGTGCATCCAAAATCTAATTCTGATTTCCCTTTTTATGATAATCCTCCACATTCATTAATATCTACTGCAATCCAACAGTAAAAATATTCTGATCTTTATTATTAACTTAATCAAATTTTTCAGTTATTGCTCATCCTTTGCCCAAATTCCAGAAAGAGTGACATAATGGGAGGCTAATGTTTTCATTAGATTTATGAGGTTTGTGAAAGTTCATAATTTTTTTATCAAAAAATCTGAATGTAACGTGCAAGTGACAACATTGAAAAGATTTTGTTATGTACTTATTTATCTGTATTATGTTGTAAGATTACTTTCTTGTTGTCAGAGAAGTGTTTTATATCAATGAATCAAATTTTTTTTTCATAAAAATTTTAAGAGGTATTCTCAGATGACTTGGATTTAAAGGAGGCCCTTGTGAGAGATAAGAGTTTTGTTTTTTAAAATTTTTTTTTTTAACTACAGTGAAATCCATGTGGTTGTATGAAAGAGAATACATTGTGTAGTCTTTTAATCCTGTTAACCCGATTTCTGTTCCTCTTGAATATTAAGATTACCTTTAGAAGAGGTAAAGCTACTCAAATTAATATGTTAAAATTGATCCACTGTATCTATATATAAAACTGTGATGAATAGAAAGTAAAATATTTTAAAATTAAAATTAGTGTTTTTTCTATACGCCAACATGAAATAGGGCTTTAAATAATAAAATTTCTGTCAAAATAAACCATTTATTCCTCTAACAATTTGTGTGTTTAAAAGCACACTTCCTCACGGAGTCCAAAATCAACACAATAAAAAGTAAATGACTGTTACAACAATGACATCTTGGTCACTCAAACAACTATCTGCAAAGTGAAGACATCAGTGAATGATGTAAAAAAAAAAAAGTTAATATGTAAGCACAGAGTGCAGGTATCAGTTTTTCGACTTTTCCTAATTTCAATAGGGTTCATTCATTGGTGATTACAAACACACACACACTAAGTTTGTCAAAAACAGGCAAGAATTGTGCCTTCTGGAGTGTTAACCAGCATTTCTAGAACAGAGCAATAATTCATACTAAATATTTTTGATTTCTCTGATTTTCAAAAAGGTTCATCCTTGGATGATTGCAAACACTCATATAAAAGTTTTATCAAAATGCGTCAAGAATTGTACATTTTTAGCTCGTAAACATTATAGAATGCACAATTCAGATTTTGATGAAACTTGGTAATATTGTTCAGTATCACCCCAAAAAAAGTGTTGACTGAAGGTTGAATATTTCATACTAGTGATTTTTACTGCTAAATATTTTTATTCAAAATCTAGGCTGCCAATGAGCGTATATTACCTTGCTAGACAAGCTATCTTTTAGATTAGGTTTAACATAAAATTGAAATAAAGAAGGAAGAATAGAATATTGAAGCATTAATTTGGAGATTTAACAAAAAAAAAGCCCAATTCTTGTTGACAGAAGGGTTCTGTAGCTCAAAGTGTTATCTTGAAATGACCTCACGTGCCTTGGTTAGGTCGAATAAATGATGATCGTGGGCTTTAATTTCCATCTGGTTACTTTAAATAAGTCATCTGTCCGCCACTCCTGTCTGTCCATATTTCTTGTAGACACATAGAGGGCTACAGTTTTTATTTGATCTTGAAATCAATTGTTTTAAAGAGGGCATATGAATATGAATAATTTTCACAGAATTAAACAATTATTTGGAGCTTAGCAACCATTTAATATCATAGCATGAATCCACCAATTGATGGACATTGGACATGGTGGTCAAATTTTTAACCTCATTCATCATCATGTGATCAAGAAAATACACGTCACTTTCTTTCCAATCTATAAAAAGGTTTATTTGTTTCACACATTGACATCAATAGCTTGTAAAACTGTTACTTCTGGAGCATTATTATGAGCACTGAACATTGAAAAACAATGATGTTGGGATAGTTGGCGTAAAAATGCTGTTAAATAAGCCTACAAAACAAAAATTATTGAAAATGTTATAGATGGTCTAATCATCAATTTTATAAAATGTATACAAAAGCTCTGAAATACACATCTACATTAAATAGATTAACATCAACTTAAGTAAATGTCTGTGAAAGTGTTCTATTTTTTATATTATCCTATTTGGGACAATATACTTACGACAGGTTAGAAACAATACATATTGTGTATACTGGTCTATCTATGTAGATGGCAGATAAGACTTGATGAATGCAGGTACAGCAAAGCCACTTAAAAATCAGGAAACCGAATTGTATTTTTGATTAATATACATGCATATGAGAAGATAAGTGCATATCTTTTTAAAAGTGTGGAGGCTAAGCTTAGCTACCCTTTAATAAGTTCATAAATGTTAGATAACAGAAACATGTACCTGTAAATTGATTTGATTTATAGGATCATTGATAGTATCAGGATCATCATCTTCCTCCTCTTCCCCTAAATCTATACCTAATTATTAAAATACAGAGTCAAATATTCAAATCATTAGTGCATCCAATTCAATTGTTTTAGAAATAATATAGAGGACTGTCTTGGTTTATTTCAGAATATTATATACATCTATATGCATATGATCTTTACTTTAGTGTTGAAATGGTTAGTGATTGCAATGAACCAGGTAATTTTTGGTAAGAAAATTTTGTTACTCTGTTTATTACTCAAGATAAAAGCAAGATCAAAAATAGCGATGCAATCGTAATACTCCCACATTTGTAATGGCTGCTAATTTGTCCGGGAGGTTGACAAGAGTTATCAGTAAATGAATGATTTTGAGAGTCAAATTTTCATAATTCATGGGGTTTGTTTACAGCTTTTTTATTCAAGTGGGATTAACTTAACATGTCAAGTTTCATTTAATCCATGTAGAATTGAATCTTTTGAGTGACAGCAAGTAGCGAATCTTTGTGTTAAGACAGTTATATATTTACGCACAGACAGACGAACGGACAGACAGGGGCGACGGCTAAATAAGGTTTATCCTTGGGTGATTACAAACACTCACACCAAGTTTTGTCAAAATCCACCAAGAAACCAGCTCTCTATCGTGTCCACAAACAATTCAAGAACCAGGCAATAACTCATAGTAAATATTTTTCGATTTGTCTGATTTTCAATAGGGTTCATCCTTGGGTGATTACAAATACTCACACCAGGCTCTCTATCATGTACACAAAGACAGACAGACAGACATCGCCAATCAATTAATTAATTGCTTTTATTATTGATATTTTACCACAAAAAAACAAAAGATCGCTGCTTTCAATTTTGCTGATTAATCACTGCCAATGACCTCGCATCAAGATGAAGGTCATTGCTTTTAAATCAAATGGCATGGGTCATTAATAGAGGTACTCATGCCATTCATTAAACCATATTTAAAGGTAATCATGATCACAAAAATCAGCCGTTGGACACAAACTCATAGTGTAATAGTCTCGCAGCTGATTGGTCATTTCAATTCGAAAACGAGGGATTTTCATTTCAACTGTCAAGGAATATTCAGCTTAGATTGAAGTTTACCTTCATAATTACTGCCAAAATCATTCAATAATTCTGATAAGGTATGACCAGAGGATGCATAATCACCATCATCATTATCACTGTCATCTTCCCAACCATTTTCTTGCTGTTCAAATACATATAATGTTTCATGATTGAGGTATTGGAAATACAGCATGAGAATAAATTTTAAGGGATTTTAATTTTTTAGTATCATTAATTTGCACCATTCCAATTTTTAAGTAATTTGAAATTTCGCTGAAACCAACTGTTTGATAACAATCCTGAAACAGGCCTTTTTTCAATTAACATATATAGTGTGTGTGTGGAACTGCAGGAACCACAGGAACCACAGATGTCTGATGGAAAATTTGAATGATGAAAATTTATGCTACACATACATTTCTTTTTTTTTTTTTAAACAAGTGGTTGCCTAGCAAGATATGCCAACTTTCCTGATACATTTTCAGTATATCAAGGGCAGTCACCTAATCATACCAAAAATCTAATTTGTACAAGATATTGTTGATTTAAACAAACACACATTATTTCATAAAATTCTGACATAAACTGTCACCTTTATCGATAACAAATTTTGATGGGTTTATACTAAGTCATGGGCAATAACTCAAATTCCGTTGATCGAAAAATTGTCAAATTTTATCTTGACTAAGATCTCATCATTATAAATGATCATACCAAATTTCATTTAAATCGGATGAAAATTGTAGTCTCTATTGCGTTCACAAACAAATTTTGACGCGTTTTTCATAAGTCAAGGGCAATAACTCAAAAACCTTTCATCGAAAGATAGCCAAATATGAACTTGTCCAATATCTCATCATTATAAATATTCACACCAAATTTCATTGAAATTGGATAAAACTGTTCTTCTCTATTGTGTTCACAACCAAATTTTGACGCGTTTTTTTATAAGTCAAGGGCAATAATTCAAAAACCGTTCATCGAAAACATCAAATTCAAACTTGTCCAAGATCCCATGAATATAAATGATCACACCCAATTTAATTCAAATCAGATAAAAACTGTCTATTGCGTTCACAAGCCAATTGTGGACCGACAGGGTCGACGACAATATACGCCCACATTATATAATGTGGTCGTATAAAAACCTCTTTACAATCCCTTTCAAGACTCGACATAATTCTGGTGAAATCGTAAGAAAAAATATAGTATAATTATCAATATTTCATAAATTAGTTGAAAACTAAATGGGCTGATGATAATAGTGAAGTTCTTGATCCATAGAAAACTACATATGGTTCTTCTTACATGGAAATAACACACACGAACATAGTTCACAAACAAAGTTTCATATGGTTCTTGTTCTTCATCATTTTTTTATTATCATATTCCCATTTATTAAATATTATGAAACTCATTTCAAATTATCTTTTGTCCTAATCATCTGGCCCGTTTCACTAAGGTACGTAAGTATTTACGTAAGTTTTATACTTATGCATAATGTAAGTATTTACTTACGTCCGTTTCACAAAAGTATGTGTAAGTATTAAGTAAAAAAAGTGGCGTAAGTACGAAAATGCGTGACGTAAAATCAATACATGATGACGTAATTCACGCTAGGCCTAAATAAATCGTCTTTCACTGTCACTTTTGTCAAAATGGCATCATCCGCAAGAAAACATAACTGGTCAATTATGAAATATCGGCATTTTTCGAAGCTGTTATGAAAATTTTTAATACAATTCGCGCCAAGTTCAGTCCTGGGGTGATCAGTATAACCAAACACGAAGCATGGTCGGTGGAAATGGAAAGATAAATAGACCTAATAAAATATTGAAATGAACACTTCTAAAGTTAAACTTGCTTAGTTAGCATTGTCCTAAACTCTAAAAGCAATTTTGAAATCATTAAATAAAAGACACGTGAATAATATTATGGATAGGGTAAACGTGTGTCCTCGATAAAACACATGTGCTTCGAATGCATTTCTATTCATAAATAACCAATGACAGTTTAGATACGCCACCTCCGTTTTAGTTAATCACATTGCCGACATCAAGTTTGTGACATGACATGTCTATGATCTGAGGTACGATCTCTGGAAACTCTTTCCTTTCATTCTTATTAAATGTAAATACATCCTGTCAATTACAAACTAATTGTCGGCGTTTTTCTAACACTAGATCAATCGCCAAAACGTACTTACGCCTGCTTGTAGTTGACATAGGATTTAGGCGACATATTTACGTAAGTTTTTAGTGAAACGCAAATTTTACCTACATATATACTTACGTAAATATTTATACTTACGTACCTTAGTGAAACGGGGGCCTGCAATATAAAGGTTTAATGGAATACATTTATAAAGTTGTATTATTAACAATGTAAAAATAAAATGTAGTCTTACTGTATCCTCATCTTCTTCACCAACTCCAGTTCTAGCTGATTCTACTTCTAATTGATTTGCTAATTCATTAATTAATAACTTATAAATCTTTACTAATACTGGTATTTCTGTCCATTCATCAGGATCTAAAGGATATTGAAAGAAGGCACTCCTGACATTCTGGAGGTTTATGAGAGATGTCCATCATTTTGTGCTAGTGAATATTCTTTCCACAATTTGTATTTTATTGTATTCTATTAAATTGACTTTTTCTTAGTCATTCAATGGTTTAGTGAGTTGAATTGATGAGTGATAGTTGGAAGTTTTCCTCCCTACTTCAACAAGAAACCAAAAAATACCATTCAATAACAGTAATCTATGAATCAGTCTCAATCATTCAATCAGGTGATTAAAGTTTCTATTAAATAACATCATTTGCAATGTACAAAGAAGGTTTCATGATAAATATATTAACATCTTGGAAAACACAAAGAATGAATTAATGTTACCTAAACTGAGACAGTTTTTTGCAGCAGTAATAAAGAAAACCCTAAAAATGTGAAGAAATCAAAATATGCTGCTAGAAAATTTATGATTTTTATGGATGGTTAAATTGAAACATACCAGATGAAGATTTAGATCTGGTTTTCACGCCATCTGTCCTTTGTATCAATTCTCCAGGTACTGTTATCTCTTGTAATCTTATATCATTATTCTGTATAGTATGTAGTAATAATTTACATAATGCTACAACACTACAATTATAACACAATCTTATGTTAGTATACTGCAAGGCTGTTGATTTGGCTCTATTTGCCGATCCTGACAGACGGGGCTGCCCAAATGACCGACAGTCAATATCCTCTATCTGTGAAATGCAAAATTTAATGAACTCTCTAATGGAATACGAAGCCATCAATCACTGCTTTACATTACAATAACCTTATTACCAACCCAATAATCTGATAATCCCAAAATTACCTGTTTTAAGTGTTTAATTTTTTTCAAAACTTAAAACATACTTTGATGGTGATTAAGTTAAACTGTTGGTTAAATGACACGCTTGACATTTCTTTTGCCAAACATCATGACAATACCGGTAGGCTATTATACAAGACCTTCTCTCAACGGAAAATTCAGATCAAATTTCACAGGTTGTTGAAAATTGTCCAATTGACAACAAAATAAATCAACAGCCCTGGAATAGCTATATAGCATTTAGTAAAAATTTACAAAGGGCTACAATATTACAATTTCATCACAATCTTACATTAGTATTTTGTATATTGTATCATGTAATTTACGTAATGCTATAATTATAACATAATCCTTGTAAGACATTTAGAAGTATCACTACACATTAAGAGACAACAATTGTTATAGATATAGACTTCTATTTATTCCTTTTGAACACAACGTTTCATTACACATACAGGTAACGTTCTCAAATAATGAAACGGTGTGTTCAAAAAGATAAATAGAAGTCTATATCCATAACAATTGTTGTCTCTTAATTATAACATAGTCTTCAATTAATATTCTTTGTAGCATTAAAATTATACATAATGCTACAATTTTAGCATAATCTTCTATACAGCACCACATGAAGAATGTAATTTACATAACTCTCCCTTATTACCATTATTACCGTAGTATAAAATATTCTACATAAGGCTACAATGCCATAATTAATAAAATACTTTTATCATATTTTACTAAGAATACTTACCTTATTTTCCTTTCATAAGAACCATAAAATAAATGCTGCCTTGAACACCATTCTGTTAAAACAAATCCTAATGCTGGCTTACCAGTAGGACTTGGTACACTACTTAAAAAATCTAAAACAGCTTCCAACTGATTATTTACAATAAGATGGGCAAAAACCAATACTAATGACTGAAATGTAAATACAAAACTTGTTTGAGTAGTCTGAAACTTGCTGACTCCTCGACCTTTGAAATTTGTACAGCAATTTGGGCGACTTTTTTTTTTCCATATTCGCAGTACTTCTTTTAATGTGAGGTTAAAATACGTTACAAATAAAGTTTTATAACACTCCAGAAAATTTCCTTAAAATTAAAGAGCCACAATAGGAAAATATATAATACTTTTTTTATTACAAATATGTAATCAAAATATCATTAGAAGTCGTATGCAAAAAACCGATGAAAAACAATTAAGAAATAAAGCCACAGTAAAGGTCCAAAGTTCATTATCGCACCTGTTGCCGAAGATTTAAGATTCTAATTACCGAACGCTTCCGAATAATACTGAAAACAATGCATGACGTCATGTTATGCCTAGTTCACACCAACGGCGAATGCCGCGCTTTAAATCGGCGAGCAAAGCACCATCCTAAGTAATGTTACGCTCTGATAAGCTCTGATACGAATTGGTTACACTTTGGGGACGAATTATTTCCTGATTTGATCAGGCCTTGTTACGCTTTAAATCAGGCTTTGATTAGCTTTATTAAGCTTTGATGCGGTTATGACGCTTTAAATCATGCTCTGATACGATTATCAAGCTCTGTTGTGCATTGTTAAGCTCTGTTACGCATTGGAAAATTTCGAGATCGTCAATTTCATGCCGCTTTTGATCAAGTGGTGACAGACCGTGAAGACTGGGGTCCCCACTTTGAATAAAGATCTGTTAAGCTTTCCTACGCTTTGAGTCAAGCTTTGCTGAACTTTGTTACGCTTTGTTAAGCTTTAATCAATTCGTGACAGAGCGCCCAAAATTTTTAAACAGTTTAAGATTTTTTGGCGCTCTTGCCGAATATCCAGCTTTGCTCAAAGCTTTCGAACGATCTATTACGACCTTGGCGCTTTAGTCGAGCTTTGTTACGCTTTGTACGCAGCTTTAAAGCGCCATCAAAGCGCCGTTGGTGTGAACTGAGCATTGGGAACATTTATCAACTGTCAAACAATGGCGTCAATGGCACACGAGGAAAAAGCATCTGAAGCACGGCATATCGAATCCAGTGAAGACGAAGACGAACCAGTAAATGATTTGTTGTATGGGTCATCATCTTTTGGGATGAACATGAAAGAATAAACCTTACAGAAAATTCAGATTCAGATGAAAACGAGGAGGTCGTTGCTGCTGTGGCTGGAATAAATCCATACCAGTTCGAACCATACGCTTCAGACTCCGAGACCAGGGAGAAAATCCAGAAGAAAATAGACTTCAAGACAATTCTTGGTAAATTTAATTTAATTTGCGAGCTTCCATTTTATCCTTTTAAAGAATCTGGCTTTTCTCTTTCATCAATATGACAGACACTATTTTCGGGGTGCGTCTTTTCACTACCGATGGCCATCGACTAAGTTTTGTTTTGCAAGTTGAAAAGTTTTTTGTACTGTTAGTTTTAGAATGTCTTTGCTTTGATCAAAAAAATCATTTTTTGTAAGTTTACATTAAATGGAAATACTTTTCTCTCCATGGAAATTCAACCCAAATAAGGTCACTAATTATGGCTGAAAATTGTCCTCTGTAAAAACAAATTTTGAAGACATAAATGTGTTTATATATATAAGACATTCTAAGACTAACACTTTTACTTTGAAGATTCTATCCCGATTCTCAAAAAAATTATGGCAAATAAAGGGGGGGGGTCCAAATAATTATTACTTTTTGTACGAACGTGTGACAGAAAACAAAAAAAAACTTTTAAGACGTCTTAAATAGTTGGACTATGAAGGTGTCACAGAAAAAAATAAATATACTTTTGCATTTCCTCAGGTGTTCTTGTGGAAATTGTGAGGTGATGCCGACAGCTAGAGAATGCATTTGTTGCAATGAAGTGCAGAGGGTGTTAGATGTCAAAAATGAAGAAGACATTTCCTGCATAACACACATCCAGGATTTTCAACAGTCTGCCTTGATGTTCATGTTTTGAGTGTTGCATGCTTCCAGTACAGACAGGAATATGGAGACAGACCAGAACAGGCTAATGAGTAATAAACTAATTCTATATCTTCAATACTTCTTTTGAATCAAATTGTAAATTGCACATTACAAAATACATGTCTAAACAATTTTACAGCATTTATAAAATAATAAAATACCAAAACAAAATAAATACCATGCATCATTTATGCAAGGAGTAGGTGTAACTGCCAATGGCAACGGTTCTGGTTCAGAATGCACTGAAGGTATGGCATTACAGTTCAGCTGCACTTTCTTCGGTTTTCGTCCTAAGTGTTTCAACTCAAACCGAAAACGAAATGGGAAACAATCCAGAGTAAAATGATCTGAACAAATGGCACAATATGCAGTTGGACCAGACCATACTGCCCTCTTTACCTTCACGAAGTCAACCCATTGTCGGCAAAGTGATCGATCCTTTGGAAAAGTATGCAAAGAATATCCATCTTTGTGTGTATTTCCACAGTTCGCAGCAACGCATCTTGTGCCACTTCCACTGCTTTTACCACCGCGATGTCCCCTCTGCATTATAATGATACAAAAACTTTTAATAAAAACTTACTATTTGTACGTAGATTCAGTGTAAACAAAGTGATTTCAATAACCGAAAGTAGCTATCTGTTCTCAATGTGACGTCATTTTGCCGAGAACTTACGGAACTTACCGATCGACAAATTTATCCAGTTGATTAAAATCGACGAAAACACACTTGTGTTGATAACTTTGTTATTATTGTAAATTTTCTTCTCAGACTTTTTGCAATAGTTTTCAAAATGAAGGATCATGAAGGAAATGAGAAATACATTTTTTTGAAAATTTTCTACTTGTGGCTCTTTAAACACTTACAAAAACACACGAACATACTTTCGCATATTTAATTCAAAGATAGATTTTAAGTAAGAACTTATTCCATACACGAACTATATCATGAAAGTAAATATGCAATTTAAGCTTGAGATAAGGGTTACAAAAAATAAGAAAACGTACCTGTACAACACTTAAAGTTTCTGCTTGTAACAATTTACTCAAAACAGCTCGCAACATCAAATCCAAATCATCACCTAATTGTTTACCAACACGACTAATCACAACTGATACTAAACGTCCAACAAAACAGGCTGTACCCTCAGATGTTTTTGGGTCAAGCAACTTGGATACAACTTGAATAATGTAAAATAAACCACTCTTTCCTACAAAGTTCAATTCGTTTTCATCTTAGTAAATATTCAAATAAAAACACCTTAAATATTGGTAAATTCATATCATTGGGATTTGGGTGTTTAAAAAAGATTGTAATAAACTTTGTCTGTGAAATTACAAGACCCAAAGACAATTTAGTGAAAATTGGAATGGAGCAAATCTGCACTATAAGTGTCCCTGATACATGTAAAAAGTTTAGAAAACCTCTTCATAATTCTTTATAGAGCTAAAGTGAATTTCAACTTTTATTTCATAGTACTAAAAGGATGAAAATCTGATGTCTTGTAAGTAACAAAAGCTAAACAGACTAAACTTACTTTGTTGGATTACCACTTGAAATACATAAAAATACAGTGGACTGTCGAAATGTACATAGATATCTTTGTGTGACTTAAGATGCACACTATTCACCTCCACAAGCTATAGGTTAATAAAGCCTAACGCAGACGAGGAACATTTCTGTCGACGAACAAAAACATCGAAGAAATACATTTGTTTTCCGTTATCCGCAGACGACCAACGTTTAGCTTGAACAATACGCCAGTGCCACGGAAAATCACATTACTTCAAAATGGCGACGTCCAGAAGAAGATAGCTTGACAGGCAAGGTAATATACGCTCACTGGCAGCTTTGATTTTGAACATAAATATTTAGCAGTACAGTAACAATCACCAGTATGAAATATTCAACCTTCAGTCATACATTTCTTTTGAACTCTTTAGGGCGATACTGAATAATATTGAGTATGAGTTATTGCCCTAGTTCTTGAACACGTGTTCAATCTTTAGCTCGTGAAAACTCTAGAAGACAAATATTCAATCTTTAACGCAATAATGAATAAAGATAGCTTGCCAGGCAAGGTAATATATGCCCACTGGCAGCTTTGATTTTGAACATAAATATTTAGCAGTACAGTAACAATCACCAGTATGAAATATTCAACCTTCAGTCATACACTTCTTTTGAACTCTTTAGGGTCATACTGAATAATATTGAGTTTGAGTTATCGCCCTAGTTCTTAAAAACGTGTTCAATCTTTAGCTCGTGAAAACTCTAGAAGACACATATTCAATATTCAGTGCGGTAATGAATAATAATAATAAAAAATAATAAAAGTTTTGTCAAAATTCGGCAAGAATCATGCCTTCTAGAGTTTTTATTAGTTACAAATTAAACGTGTTTTCAAGATCAAGGGTAATAACTCCTACTAAATATTTTTTCGATTTTTCTGATTTTCAATAGGCTTTATCCTTGGGTGATAACAAACACTCAAGCCAAATTTCATCAAAATCCATCAAAAATAGTGCCTTCTAGAGTGTTTACAAGCTAAAAATTGAACGCGTTTTCAAGAATAAGCTCAATAACTCATACTTAATATTTTTCGATTCTTCTGATTTTCAATAGGGTTTATCCATGGTTTCATAATAAACACTCATGTCAAGTTTCGTCAAAATCCACCAAGAATTGTGCCTTCTAGAATGTTTATGAGCTAAAAATTGAACGCGTTTTCAATAACAAGGGCAATAACTCATACTAAATATTTTTTGATTCTTCTGATTTTCATTAGGGTTCATCCTTGGTTGATTATGAATACTCATACCCAGTTTTGTCAAAATTCCTCAAGAATTGCGTCTTGTAGATTGTTTACGAGCAATTGTGGACAGACATGGATGATGGCAATATACGCCACCCATTTCAAGTGGGCGTAAAAAAATCAAACGTTTAATCTCACGAACATTTTTGTTCGTGTTTCTGTAATCCGCAGACAGTGAAAAAAATGATCGAAACAAATTTTTTACCATTGTTCGCTTAAAATGTGCCTAGTCTGCGTTGGGCTTAATAGAACCAATAGTTCACATTCAATAAAAAAATTTGATGCACCGGTAATAAACAAGCCTCACCTCTTTCATCTTTCCACTGCATTACTTGTTCTAAATCCACAGAGCAAAAGGCACGCAAACATTCACCACCACTCTAGAAAATTCATTAAATGGTATTATTCTTGTGGCATATAAACATTTCTAAACTTTTGTTCTTTTGTGTAATGTATTGAAATTTGAAAATTCACTCTTGTATATCATAATGCTGTGACTTCATTTACTAAAGTACTATGCATATTCCTGAAGACTTAAATTCCTGTTTTTTTTTCCAAAGCATTTTTTTTATTAGCATTATCAAAAATTTATTATTGCTGAACAGGTTTTTTTTCTGAAACATGATTCTGGCAGCTGATATGAGAAAATACGAGCTGAGTAGGCATACATTTAGAAGAATATATTTTATAAATACCTGTAAGGTGTCATTATCATCACTTTTCATAATACATTCTATAGCTGATGGGAAGGCTAAATTCATCATGGATATAGATAAAGGTTTCTGACCACCTCGTACTAATGTTGTCAATATATCTAGTGCTGTCTAAACATAATTGAAGTATAGAACATGTACATAAGTTACAGGTATTATGAAGTCTGATAGACGTTTTTATATCTAGTTGCAAGCCTTCAGTTCACCAGAATCTTTTTTGAAAGCTTTGCACAACACCATCAACACATTAATGCTTTTCATAATAATATTCTTTTGCATTAAATTAAATTTTTTAAAATCAGTAGGCTTAAAAATTTAGTTTACTCTTTTTGCATTTATCAATAAGAATTATATTAAAGAAATAGAAATGAACTATAAATATGACCAATAGGGCCTACAAAAGTACATTATATTCTGAACACAAAACAGAACTAAACATAATTGTATAAATTTTGTACTGATGTAAATTGAGACGATAGCTTATAATTATCAAAACTTTTCCTCCTATAATGGATATTGGGTTCCTGAAAAGATGTAAAAAAAAATAATCGTCTATCTGAACTATGTTTACATTACATCTTCAGCTAGAGCAGGAGGTGATGTCAGTAAAAATCAAAATTATGGCAAATTAGGTACTTTATATCATAAAAAGTAATAAAATATCACAATATTGTACATGTTTCAAAAACAAACTGATGTCCAAATCTTAAACAATCTCAACGTTTTCCTTCAATACTCAACAGACATAATTTTCCGCATTTATTATCAAAGATGTAATTGACCCTTGACTTCATTTCCTAAGCGTAGCTAGGGTTTCACTATAGGAGACACAATTCAGAGGGAAAAAATACAATTCAATGGATTAAAGATAGCTTGCGTTGCAAGATAACATACGCCCACTGGCAGCTGTCAGAAATAATAAAACAGTCTTCAGTGACTAAAGTACGAATTTTCTCATATTGAAGAAAGTATTCATGCTGAATAATTCCACAAAATTTTTTAAAATCAATATCAATAACCCAAATACAACAAACAATTAAATCACACAGCTCTAATCCAGGGCAAAAAACAGCTTTTGACGCGTTTTTACAAAGACAAGGGCAATAACTCAAAAAACGTTCATCAAAAATATCTCCTGTTAGAACTTGTCCGAGATCTTATCAATTCCAATGATCACACCAAGTTTCATCAGAATCGGTTGAAAACTGTAGCTTCTATTGTGCTCACAAACAAATTTTGACGCGTTTTTCGTAAGTTAATGGCATTAACTCAAAAACATTTCATCAAAAATGCGTCAAGTTAGAACTTGTCCGAGATCTTATCAATTTCAATGATTACACCAAGTTTCATCAGAATCGGTTGAAAACTGTAGCTTCTATTGTGCTCACAAACAAATTTTGACGCGTTTTTACAAAGTCAAGGGCAATAACTCAAAAACTGTTCATCGAAAATGCGTCCAGTTAGAACTTGTCCGAGATCTTATCAATTCCAATGATCACAACAAGTTTCATCAGAATCGGTTGAAAGCTGTAGCTTCAATCCTGCTCACAAACTATTTTTAACAAATTTCAACACGTTTTAACAAAGTCAAGGGCAATAACTCAAAAACTGTTCATCGAAAATGCGTCAAGTCAGAACTTGTCCGAGATCTTATCAATTCCAATGATCACACCAAGTTTCATCAGAATCGGTTGAAAGCTGTAGCTTCAATCCTGCTCACAAACTATTTTTAACAAATTTTGACGTGTTTTTACAAAGTCAAGGGCAATAACTCAAAAACCGTTCATCGAAAATGCGTCAAGTCAGAACTTGTCCGAGATCTTATCAATTTCAATGATTACACCAAGTTTCATCAGAATCGGTTGAAAACTGTAGCTTCTATTGTGCTCACAAACAAATTTTGACGCGTTTTTACAAAGTCAAGGGCAATAACTCAAAAACTGTTCATCGAAAATGCGTCCAGTTAGAACTTGTCCGAGATCTTATCAATTCCAATGATCACAACAAGTTTCATCAGAATCGGATGAAAACTGTAGCTTCAATCCTGCTCACGAACAATTTTTAACAAATTTCAAGGCGTTCTAAGTCAAGGGCAATATCTCAAAAACCGTTTATCGAAAATATGTCAAATTCGAACTTAACCAAGATCTTATCAATCTAAAGCATCACACCAAGTTTTATCAAAATCAGATAAAAACTGTAGTCTCTATAGTGCTCACAAGAAATGTTGACGGACAGGGGCGACGACAATATACGACCACATATTCATGTGGGCGTATACAAAGTATCAGTTATTTTGAGAAAAATGACCTAAATTTACCAATAATGGTATCAGAAATTATTTTTAACAACCAGCCTCTATTTCCTTGTGGTCTGCTGTCGTCCTATCCACGTCCATTTTACAAAAATATTGGCTTATTTGTTCCGAATTATTTTTCAAAAGCAACTTCAGAACTATTTCAAAAGTCACGCAATGTCACTATAGTAATGGGCCAGGTTAACCACACGCACCCGCAAAGCTAGCTCTTCCTTTGTGGCAAAACAGGCAAGTCTTCATTTTGAAACATGTGTGCGGATACCAGCAAGACGGATGAGGTCAAACAGGTCATAAGACGAAAACCAACAAAAAATGCTTTTACAATAATAATACACCCACAAGAATAGATTTTGTATTCTGGTTTTTTTTCTGAGTCATTTTTTATTTGCTTTACTTGGAAAAGAAACGATTCTGCAACCCATTTTTTGAAGTCTTACATCTCTTTAAAATAACTGGTAAATTGGATGCTATGAAATTCCAATATCAACATAACATTTAATTTTTACTTCCTATAGAAAATTATCTGATAGAAAATTTGGTTGCCTCCTTTTGAATCAATACATAGGTTTAAATCTGATTTTGTCAATCTTTTATCAGGGTCAGGTCTGCATTCTACAGTTAAGAAGATAATTCTTAATGTTTTTTTCGATTTTTCTCATTTTCAATAGACTTTATCCATGGGTGATAACAAACACTCAAGCCAAATTTTGTTAAAATCCATCAAGAATTATGCCTTCTGAAGTGTTTACAAGCTAAAACTGAACGCGTTTTCAAGAACAAGGCAATAACTCATACTAAATATTTTTCAATTTTTCGATAGGGTTTATCCTTGGGCGATATCGAACACTCATACCAAGTTTCATCAAAATCCGTCATGAATTGCACCTTCTAGAGTGTTTACGAGCGTTACAAGAACAAGGGCAATAACTCATAGTAAATATTTTTCGATTCGTCTGATTTTCAATAGGGTTCATCTTTGGGTGATTACAAACAAACAACCATACCAAGTTTCGTCGAAATCAGTCAAGAATTGTGCCTTGTAGAGTGTACTTTATCAATATTTTCTGTCTCGAAAACTCTCAGTTTGAAGTCGAATTTACGGCAATCTGGCAATTTCATGGTATGATAACAAATTATTTCAGACAGGTTAAAATCTACATGTATTCTTTTAATGCTTAATATTTGAAAGAAAAATATTGACTTTAAAACAGCGGGAATTTAATTGGGAAATTGCTGCCACACTCTCGTCCTATGGATCTATGATACTAAAGACGTGACATGACCTTTAACGGCCATCGCTCTGATAATCATTTCGATTGTCTGGATAATTTTGACTACTAGAACAATGGTTAAAGTCAAAAGGAAACCGGCCTTGTGAGTATTTTTCACATTGCATCACCATCATCGGCACATTTTTTAGAGTTTTAGATTTAAGTTCTGGTGTTGTCTTGAATGTGAGTAAAAATTCACGCATAAAGCCCAACGCAGACGAGGAACATTTCTGTCGACGAACAAAAACATCGAACAAATATATTTGTTTTCCGTCATCCGCAGACGACAAACATAATTCCGCAGACGACGAACATTTAGCTCGAACAATACGCCAGTGCCACGGAAAATCACATGACCTCAAAATAGCGACGTCCAGAAGAAAATGTAAAATTGCGTTTGCTATATTATTAATTTTAAAAAAGACGCCAACGTAGACGGCGAAATAGGAGCCTTTGGGTCCGTACCCGGATTCAACGTCGTAAAGAGCAGGGTGTGTTCGGCAACCTTGTAAATTTACCGGTTGTTTCCAGGGCTTGTGTTATTTCTTGCATCGCAGTGTACTTCTTGTTTCTATCTGAATAGTTAGGCGAAGAATTTATAAACAAACAGGCAGATTGCGACCACATATCTACTAAAATCTGCTCCTTCTCCACAGTCCAAAATTTTGTGTTGGTGGATTCACTGGACGTCGCGATTTTGAGTGTCATGTGGTCTGGCTTCGATCGCTGATTGGTCTTTCGTCGATAAATGTTCGGCGCTAATGTTTGTGGTTAACGCAGACGGCGAACAATTTTAAAAAAATCAAACATGTTTGATTTCACGAACAATTCTCACGAACATTTTTTTTTGTGTTTCTGTAATCCGCAGACGGTGAAAAAAATGATCGATACGAAATATTTACGATTGTTCGCTTAAAATGTTCCTCGTCTGCGTTGGGCTTTAGAATGAAATTGTTGATATGCAAGCCTCATACTTATATCTATTTATATGTCTGATTCACTGATGTTGAGTCAACTGCTAGCTATTTTGTAACTGATGTCTTGCTTTTCTTGTTATCAGATTCGAAAGAGTGAAAATCCTTGTCTAAAAAATCCAGGCATTTCCTCTTGGAAATTTGAGCAATTGATCGGCTCAAACTGATGGGTTTAACATTACTATTCGCCATCGAATCAAATGGACTACTTGTCTTGTTTTTTGATCTATGACATCACTAGGTCACGTGAGGCAGACCTAATCAAAGATCGGCTTATTTGCACAGCTTAATTGAAATTGTGTCTTTTCTGCACTTCTTGCACTGGTATAATTTTTTTTCTGCCTAACCCCTGTAAAATATATTAATCTAGCCTTACACCAGGAATTTATTCATTTATTTCAACCTTGTCGTAAATCCTTTAACATGAAGTTTTGTAACTTGCTACATGCATCTCTTAACTGATTACTTACTGTTTAAGAATGTGTAATATTAATATTAATATTTATTTCTTATATAGCGCATTGTAAGATGTACATGATAACATATCATTACAGTATCAATGCGCTTAACAGTATATGAATATTTACAAGGAAGTATATAAATAGTTATAAAAATACATAATGTATTCAACAGTGATATAACAATATATAAATAAAATATACATGTTTATATAACAATATAACAATAAATGAATATAAAATAAAACAGTAAATGAGTTTTAAAAAGATACACCATGACGATTAAAATTCATATCACATTTGAAGAACAATATTAGTTAGTAAAATGGCGTTTGAAAAGAAGTGCTTTAATGCTGCGTTTAAAAAGAGTCCAGGTCTGATTCAGATTGTTTGGTGGTAATCTATTCCATAGTTGTGGAGCGTATTGGCCAAAAATTCTTGATCCATAAAATTTATTGTTTGCATTTAGCTAGGGGTAACAAAGTGACCAAGTGTACAATAATTTCATTAATCATTCAACATGAAAAGTCAAATGGTAACAATTGCAAAGTAATGTTCAATAAGATGGTAACAAGTGGTTGCCTAGCAAGATACGCCCACTTTCCTGATACATTTTCAATATATCAAGGGCAGTCACCTATATGTGTCATATCATACCAAAATAATTTGTGCAAGATATTGTTGATTTAAACAAACACACATTATTTAATAAAATTCTGACATAAACTGTCACCTCTATCGCTAAGAAATTTTGATGCGTTTTTACTAAAAACTCAAATACCGTTGATTGAAAAATTATAAAATTTAATCTTGACTAAGATCTCATCATTATAAATGATCATATAAAATTTTGTAGTCTATTGTGTTCACATACAAATTTTGACGCGTTTTTCATAAATCAAGGGCAATAACTCAAAAACCATTCATGGAAAGATAGCCGAACTTGTCCAAGATCTCATCATTATAAATATTCACACCAAATTTCATTGAAATTGGATAAAAACTGTAGTTTCTTTTGTGTTCACAACCAAATTTTGACACGTTTTTCATAAGTCAAGGGCAATAACTCAAAATCCATTCATCGAAAGATCGTCAAATTCAAACTTGTCCAAGATCTCATGAATATAAATGATCACACCAAATTTCATTCAAATCAGATAAAGATAGCTTGCCAGGCAAGGTAACATACGCCCACTGGCAGCTGTCAGAAATGATTAAACAGTCTTTAGTGACTACAGGGTTGCACAATATAGCTAATAGAGTGAAACGTCAAGTCAGACACGATATTTCGGTGAAATATTATCCGATCATCACGAAAATCGATAGGGATCATCTTCATAATGACATTGACATACAAAATAAAAATCAAAAGAATCTGTAAAGAATTGTAGCCTGTAGAGTGAGCACGAGTTGCACAATATAGCTAATAGAGTGAATTGTCAGGTCAGACACGATATTTCGGTGAAAAATATCCGATCATCATGAAAATTGATAGATCATCATGAAAATCAATAGGGATCATCTTCATAATGACACAGACATACAAAATAAAAATCAAAACATACAAAATAAAAATCAAAAGAATCTGTAAAAAATTGTAGCCTGTAGAGTGAGCACAAGTTGCACAATATAGCTAACAGAGAAAAACATCAAGTCAGACACGATATTTCGGTGAAAAATTATCCGATCATCACGAAAATCAATAGGGATCATCTTCATAATGACATTGACACACAAAATAAAAATCAAAAGAATCTGTAAAAAATTGTAGCCTGTGGAGTGAGCACGAGTTGCACAATATAGCTAATAGAGAAAAACGTCAAGTCAGACATGATATTTCGGTGAAAAATTATCCGATCATCACGAAAATCAATAGGGATCATCTTCATAACAACATTGACATACAAAATAAAAACTAGAGCCACTCGTGGCACAGAGTGGGACTTTGCAAATGTAGCAAATTGCGAGAGACCCCGAAAAAATCTTCCTTCCACGATAATTAGATCAAGCGCAAGAACAGTCTAAAGTTGAGAAATTTTCATTTTTTAGAAGATTCTAATACCGGAAGTAGACATCAGACCTCACAAATGAAAGTATCAGCAGATAGCCAAGGTCAATGACCTTTGACCTTGTAAAAGAGAAGGTCTAAAAAGGTCAAGATCAAGAGATATACATCATCAAAATTTCTAATTGCACACGACTATAAAACCGGAAGTTGACATAGGACAGCAAATATGAAAGTACAAATAGATAGCCAATGCCAATGACGTTTGATCCTACAAAGGACAAGGTCAACAAAGGTCAAGGTCAAAAATTGAAAATTTTGAATTTCCAAAACCTGTTCCTTTTTTGAACTAAGAAGCGGAAACAACCGAAATTCTAAGACAAAGTGGTTCAACACATGAGGTAATTATATGCAAAGTTCCATTTTGAACAAATGTATACTTTGCGAGTTATGCCCCTGGCCAAAAATGTCAATAATATGTAATTTAACCCGGATGTGCCACGCCCACGTCAATTTTTTTTGCATAGGTTAATTGATATTCAAAATGTTAAGTTATGTTCCAAATGTCAACCTCCTACATAATACAGGTCAAAAGATATAGGTCAACAAATGTCAACAAAGGTAAAAAACCCGTTCCTTTTTTGGAACTATAAAGCTGAAACAACTGAGCTGTTAACACAAACTGGCCAAAAGGATGAGGTAATTGTGTGCAAAGGCCCTTTTTGAACAAACGCATCCAATGCGAGTTATGCTCCTGCCTCTAAATATAAACAATTAGTAATTCAACCCGGATGTGCCACGCCCACATAAGTTTTTTTGTCATAGGTGAATTCATATTCAAAGTGTGTAGTTGTATTCCAAATATCAAGGTTCTACATCAAATAGATCATAAGATATACATACACCAAGCTCAAAAAGACGCAAATATTGTAAAAAAAAAACTCAAATTTGAAAAAATCACAAATTTCAATTTCGCTTTAAAAAAGCGATTGTTATATATCTATGTAAAGTACACGAGAAGCACATTAGGAAACTGAAAAAATTAACCCTCTAGGTTAATTAGGTCACGTACTAGAGCAGTCCAAAGTTGCGAATTTGGCTTTTTACGGATAGCTATAAAACCGGAAGTACATGTCGGAGGTCAAAGGTCAAAGTATCAAATGATAGCCAAGGTCAATGACTTTTGACTGTATAAAGGTCAAGGTCATCAAAGGTCAAGGTCACTTGATGTGGTCGTTTAAAGCTAGAAAAAATCCAACCGGAAGTTGCAAAAAAGCAAAAGCGAAATTCAAAATTCGGCTCCCAATGATTTTTGCGCAATCGATTGCGGAATACATTCACTTCAAAATTGAGCATATCAACATTTACCCTGAGGCCCCATTTTGAGTTTTACAAAAGTGTGTTTATTCAATATGGCGGCCAAAGTATCACTTCCGGTCTAAATTTTATTTTAAAATCGGCCATAAAGTTTTATTTGCTAATGACCGGCTAAGTTTTGTTGACCTACATAAATTACACCGGAAGTTATTCAACCGGAAGTAGATTTGAAGTTCAGTCACTTCCCTCTTTAAAAGCGGAAATGACGTACAAAATTTGACTGTACCATATTACTAACATTAGTGAAGTCTCTTTGCATTTAAAATTTCAGATCAATCGATGCAAAAACAAAAAAGTTGCAAAAAAATTGAAAAATTTGAACGAAAAAAGTGAGCGATGAATTTTCGAATTTCGTAATTTTTTAAGTGCTATCAGGTCAGAAATTACAGGTAGATTGTAAAAATGAAAACCCGAAGAAAATCGATGCAAAAATGCACCTTCTAGAGCCGATTTTCAACTTTTTGCACATGTTGAACTGTGGCATTTCCGGTTTTGCAAAAATGTTCCAAAATACACTTAAGGAACACGTTGCCACTTCAGAAGGTCTAGAGAAGTTGAATGGTTACTGCAACTACTGCAGTCTAGGCTCAGGAAGGTGTGTAAATTTCGAAAAATTTGCTGAAAGCAAAGTTCCACAATCAAAAGAATCCATAAAGAACTGTAGCCTGTAGAGTGAGCACCGACGGACCAACGGGGTGATTACAATATACGCCCATCTTACGTGTGGGAGTATAAAAACTGTTGTCTCTATTGCGTTCACAAGCCAATTTCAATCCCTTCATGCTAAGTCAAGGGCAATAACTCAAAAACAATTCATTGAAAAATCGTGATTATCGAACTTGTCCAAGATCTCATCAATATAAATGATCACACCAAATTTCATTCAAATCAGATTAAAATTGTAGTCTCTATCGCGTTCACAAGCCAATTTTGACACGTTTTGGCTAAGTCAAGGGCAATAACTCAAAAACTGTTCATCAAAAAATCGTGAATATCGAACTTGTCCAAGATCTCATTAATATTAATGATCACACCAAATTTCATTTGAATCAGATGAAAACTGTAGTCTCTATCGCGTTCACAAGCCAATTGTGGACGGACGGACCCACAGACATGGGTGACAACAATATACATCCACATTATAATGTGGGCGTATAAAAAGTAGTCAAATAATACAACTTCAAAACATACTTACTGAGGTTAAACCAGGCAGTTTGTCACCAGGAGAACGTAATATTGATACTATTGTTGGTAATAAACGCTCTTCAAGTTGACTACAACAACCAGCATTAGCAGCTATCTCTTTAAATAAACCTTGTACCAAATCTACCAGAAATGGATCTTGGAAAAAAAAAATCAATATAAACTATGGAGTGTCAGTAGACTATAGAGTGAATATGATAGAGCTAAGTATTTTGCTAAAAAATTTGGGACGCGGGAAATAACTTTTTACCTGATGATTGTAATGCACTCAAATTCAAACGTGACCTTCATTTTTAAAGTTCTAAATTTTATCAATATTAGTTAAAGGTAGCCTGCAGCATCTGTCAGAAATAATAAAACAGTCTTTAGTGACTAAAGTACGAATTTTCTCATATTGAAGAAATTATTTATGCTGAATAATTCCACAAAATTTTTTAAAATCAATATCAATAACCCAAATACAACAAACAATTCAATCACACAGCTCTAATCAAGGGCAAAAAACAACTTTTGATGCGTGATTACAAAGTCAAGGGCAATAATTCAAAAAATGTTCATCAAAAATATCTCGTTAGAACTTGTCCGAGATCTTATCAATTCCAATGATCACACCAAGTTTCATCAGAATCGGTTAAAAACTGTAGCGTCAATCCTGCTCACAAACTATTTTTAACAAATTTTGACGTGTTTTTACAAAGTCAAGGGCAATAACTCAAAAACTGTTCATCGAAAATGCGTCAAATTAGAACTTGTCCGAGATCTTATCAATTCCAATGATCACACCAAGTTTCATCAGAATCGGTTGAAAACTGTAGCGTCAATGCTGCTCACAAACTATTTTTAACAAATTTCAACAAGTTTTAACAAAGTCAAGGGCAATGACTCAAAAACCATTCATTAAAAAAGCGACAAGTTAAAACTTGTCCGAGATCTTATCAATCCCAATGATCACACTAAGTTTCATCAGAATGGGTGGAAAACTGTATCGTCAATCCTGCTTACAAACTGTTTTTAACAAATTTTGACACGTTTGAACAAAGTCAAGGGCAATATCTCAAAAGCCGTTAATTGAAAATATGTCAAATTCGAACTTGATCGAGATCTTATCAATCTAAAGCATCACATCAAGTTTTATCAAAATCAGATGAAAACTGTAGTCTCTATAGTGCTCACAAGAAATGCTGACGGACGGACCGACGGACAGGGGCGATGACAAAATACGACCACATATTCATATGGGCGTATAAAAACTGATGAAGAGATATTAGTGCTAACAGTAAAACTGTTAACAGAATATTTATCAAATATTATAGCTTTGAGTGAACACAGTCAGATGGACAAAAAATGTGACAATATGGTGCAAAATTCTGAGTATAAAAATACAATGAAACTTTACCTGAACAATGTTTCAGATATACAGCTATAGTAAACGGGGTAATTTTATTTTCTATTGTTGCTGTTGTATGTTTATCTATCTAAAATGATTAACAAAATAATAATTGGTTCATTGGAATCTTATATCAAGAACCACATTTTCAGAAAAATTTATGGGAAATATGGAAAACACGACTTAAGATGGTAAATAGCATTTGTTGCTTCAAATTATGCTTGTGTTTTCTACTGGAGAACTCGGGTAGTGTTGAAGAATTAGTGTTGGGCAACAAATCAGAATTGTATAATGGACACATGTGATGTAACTATTATGTAAATAGAGTAAATTGCTCTCAAGAGCATGTGCGTCTGTACTAATGTTTCAAATGTGTCCCGAATAGAACCAAGGAAGGAAGGAAACTTCCCACTTCTCAGAGGTAATAATTACAGCATTTAACTGTTAGTATGGCCAGGATCATAGCTTATATCATTATTGTAATTCCACTTCTTTACACTCACCGAAATTACAACAGTTAAGGCTTCAAGAGCTAAACCAAGCACATCTGCAGAAAACTGTGTACCAATTGTAATCAACCCATCAATAATATTGATTAAGAAAGGTTGTAATAATTGAGTGTTATTATTATTCTTTAGTTGTTCACAGTAGTTATAGAGAGCTCTAATAGCAGAGATTCGAACACTAGCAGATTGAGAAATATGAAGGCCACCAACTGTGGCTTGTATACATCTACAAATAGAAGAACATACCACAAATTATAAAAGAATGTATAAAATAGAAACTTAGTCCAGTAAATGAAATACAATTTTCCTAAGAAGCAACAAATCAATATTCAACAACAATGAATGTGATTCAGATAAATAGATTACAAAATCATACGCAGGGGAGGAATTTCAAAAGAATAAATGCACACCTTTCTAATAGATCTGGTTTCATTATTTCAGAAAAACGACTAGCTGTCCATAAACAGCGACCAATTAAGAATGGTGAAACTGAAAAAACAATCAATAATGTTTAGAGAACATTATAAGATTCAGTAAGCATTGGTCAAACATCCAGACTTGCATCTTAAGCTGGTGTTACTTTACTATCATCCAACAAATTACTGTGTGCAGGGCTCATGGTCTCAATCACATCATACATAGCTCAGTTGACAATTACTTATTTCTTTAGGTATCACATCTCATATAATCTAAATTAAATACAATAATAACATTTTTTTACCTTGTAAATTTAAATCCCCTAGAACAACAGACTGAAGAAAAGAATCTATATCAAACTGAATTTTGTTTTCTTGTATAAATTGAATGACCAATGATTTCACACTGCCAATAGCTAGCATACAAGATTCGTGCAACTTCCACCTGAAAACAAAAGAGTTGCAAGTCATTTTTTCTTAGTGTGTCCCAAATTGCATTCAAAGAAAATATTAGTTTTGCATAATATAAAACAAGAAGTGTGAAAATACCCAAAGGTTGTAAAAAATATTTTCACCAAAGTATAGTTACAAAAGTTACAACTTGCTGCTTGACCAATACTTTCAATTGATCAAAATATCTTCACAATCTCAAATACAATACATTTTCCTCACCAACAATAATGTGTCTTGTCTTTTTGTAACATCTTGACTAGTAAATTTCATTACAATATTAACAAGTGGTTACCTAGCAAAATACGCCCACTTCTCTGATAAATTTTTGGTGTATTGAGGGCGGTCACCAATATGTGTCAAATCGTACCAAAAATCTAGGGGCAAGTCAAGAACAATAACTCAAAAACCGTTCATTAAAAAAATAAGTTCTCAAAATAAATGGTCACACCAAATTTCATCAAAATCAGACAAGAACCGTAGTCTCTATCGTGTTCACAAGCCATTTGTGGACGGACCGACAGACGGACATGGGTGACAACAATATAATGAGGTCATATAAAAAACTATAATATAACTGAGGCTATTAGTGTTTCTATCAGCTGGGTGTTCATTAACATATTGTTCACATAACTTTACAAGTATTGAATACAAAAGAGCTAGTTAAAGAGTCGCTATTAAAATTGTTAGAGTGAGGTTGTAAAAAAAAAAATACTGCATGACTGTCAGCTCCTGGTGTGACATTTATTTCCCTACCTCGCATGAAATAATGAAAATTTTTCTGTGACTTTATTGTCACATATAAAATCAATTTTGCTAACTAACCACCTTTCTAAAGCTGTGCAAATCATAAAAATATCATTGTTTCCAAAGGATTATTTTCTCTCGCGTGTATACACAAATTCTTGTACGACAACTTACAATTTGAATTGCAAGGTCGGGATTATCTAATTTTGACCAATCAAAAAACAGATATATCTAAATTGCAGGAAACAATGGCAGCTTACACATAAGCGCTGAGATCTTTAATGCTGAGACAGCAAGTTGAATTTGTTAATTCACACCGAGCTGGAGGATCCAGTAAAAGAAGTGAAGATTTCGGAATGTACAGAAGTGGACAAATTTAGAAGAAGGAATAGAATAGAATAGAACAGAATAGAATAGAATAGAACAGAACAGAACAGAACAGAACAGAACAGAACAGAATTTGATTCTCTAAACTAGATCAATGCACATAGATTGAAAACTTATTGAAATTTTTTTTAAGAATCATCTTATTTGCTAAAGAAGGCCTTTTTATTTAACTGTACATTTCTTACATTTGTTGGAATAGGTCAGAGGCAGAACCAGATTGGTATTAGAACAATTTTATTTTTAGATTCATCGATGGTAATGAGGAATCCTTTAAAACATTTAAAACATTTTCTCGTGAATGGTTACTTAAAATCTGGGATAGGAATCTCGAGACTACACACACGCGCAAAAGTTCTTGTTTACAATTGGCGACGAATTTTCGGTCAGAAATATAAAACTTGACTTTGTTTGTGTACTTCTCCGGTTGTTACATGTAATTTATGGATAATTATCATTTTTTCACAAAATCACAATAATGAGAAATGAAAATAACGAAGTTGATCGCTACTTTTATTTTTACCACGTCTTCTGGTCGAAAATATGTGTAGTTAACGCTGATTGGTCCAATTGGTCCAATCAAAATTGAGTTCTCTTAATCGCTATTATCGAGATTTAAAATACTTACATAACCGTTTAAGAATTGTTATATCGATTGTGACATAACACTTAGATTTTTCACAAAGAAACTTTCACGAAAGGTAAGGGGCATCTTCCTTTAAGTGTTGGCATGAAGAATTATGTATTTCACGATCAAGACCACAAAAACTCATTAAAAGATAGCTTGCCAGGCAAGGTAATATAAGCCCACTGGCAGCTTTGATTTTGAAAAAAAGTATTTAGCAGTACAGTAACAATCACCAGTATGAAATATTCAACCTTCAGTCATACACTTCATTTGAACTCTTTAGGGCGATACTGAATAATATTGAGTATGAGTTATTGCCCTAGTTCTTGTTCAATCTTTAGCTCGTGAAAACTCTAGAAGACAAATATTCAATCTTTAGCGCAGTACTGAATAATAAAAACAAGTTTCATCAAAATCCGACCAGAATCATGCCTTGTAGAGTTTTTACAAGCTACATATTGAACGAGTTTTCAAGAACTTGGTCAATAACTCGTAATAGTTTTTTTTCGATTTTTCTGATTTTCTATAAGCTTTATCCTTGGGTGATAACAAACACTCAAGCCAAGTTTAGTTAAAATCTGTAAAGAATCGTGCCCTCTAGAATGTTTACATGCTAAAAATTGAACACGTTTTCAAGAACAAGGGCAATAACTCATACTAAATTTTTATTCTTTTATTCTTTTATTCTTATTTTCAATAGGGTTCATCCTTGGGTAATACCAAACACTAACACCAAGTTTCATCAAAATCCGTCATGAAGAGCAAGGGCAATAACTCATACTAAATATTTTTCGATTTTTCTGATTTTCAATAAGGTTCATCAACAAACAAACAACCAAACCAAGTTTCGTCGAAATCAGTCAAGAATTGTGTCTTATAGAGTGTTTTTACGAGCAATTGAGGACGGACGGATGGATCGACCGATGGACGGACATGGGTGACGGCAATATACGCGGCCCCCATTTCATGTGGGCGTATAAAAAGATATTGGACCACAGCCATATACGCCCACCACGGCATGCGATGGTAAATATTCAAAATTTTGGGGCAAAGGCAATAACTCTGCTTCTAATGATCGAAAATAGCTCAAATTCGAACTCGATCTTCGTTTTATGAATAGGTATACACACACCGAATTTCATTTGATTCCATCAAAAAAAACTAAAGCGTTTACAAGCAAATATTGACGGACGGACCGACGAACAGACAGGGGTGCCAACAATATACGTCCACATAGAGAGATGTGGGCGTATGTGAAATTTTAAGTATTTGAGTTATCTCCCTTGAATAGTACAAATTTTTATAAGATTTCAATTCTAGATCTGCAAAATTAAAGAAGCTGCTACAATTAAAATTTGCTCAATTGATTATTCATTTACCTGCCGAGAGATAAAAGACTGAACTTATAGAAGATATTCGACATGTGGACAAGATCTAATCTTTGAGTGAAACTAACAATTCTACTGGAACTGATACGGAAACCACAGACAGAGTGAAACAATTTAATGCCATTACACTTCAATCATTGTATATTGTAGCAATGAATTCAAGCTTGAAAATTAGTGATGCCTGTTTTATTAAACAATACTCTAGACGGGATAATGGGAGCATCAGAGCACCTTACATCACAGGATTAACTAGGTTAATGGCATCACGCATATTAAACTGCTATTTATCTAAAGGTTGCAAACAAACATTGAAGTCATTGTCGCTCGGTTTACTTTACGTCACATAACTGGTTCAAGAAAGTTGTCAATCTCTTTGAATGTATTTGGACACAGTTCTCCACATGACTATTGACACATCTTAAGTCTAAATGGAATTGAATAAAGGGCCAGTGCTGTACAGGGTATGTTTATATCTCTCAGTACACAGACAGAATTAATGAATGGAGATGAAGAGGATTGGAAGGGATTGATGTTAAGGATTGTTAAGGACATGTGGATAAAAATTTGGATACTTGCCTTAATTGTTTTTTAATTGATATGTTTAAGATAGCTTGCCAGGCAAGGTAATATACGCCCACTGGTATCTTTGATTTTGAATAAAAATATTTAGCAGTACAGTAACATTCACCAGTATGAAATATTCAACCTTCAGTCATACACTTCTTCTGAACTCTTTAGTGTAATACTGAAGAATATTGAGTATGAGTTATTGCCCTTGTTCTGGAAAACGTGTTCAATTTTTAGCTCGTGAAAACTTTAGAAGGCAAATATTCAATGTTCAGCGTGAGACTGACTAATAAAACCAAGTTTTGTCAAAATCCAGCAAGAATCATGACTTTTAGTGTTTAAGAGCTAAAATTTGAAAGCATTTTCAAGAACGAGGTCAATAACTCCTATGAAACATGTTTTGATTTTTATGATTTTCGATAGGGTTCATCCATGGGTGATAATAAACAATTTCACCAAATTTCGTCAAAATCTGTCAAGAATTGTTTACGAGCTAAATATTGAACGCCTTTTCAAGAACAAGGGCAATAACTCATAATAATTATTTTTCGATTTTTCTGATTTTCAATAGGGTTTTTCCTTGGGTGATAACAAACACTCATGCCAAGTTTCGTCAAAATCCGTAAAGAATTATGCCTTCTAGAGTGTTTACGAGCTAAAAATTGAACGTGTTTTCAAGAACAAGGGCAATAACACATACTAAATATTTTTCAATTTTTCTGATTTTCGATAGGGTTTATCCTTGGGTGATTACAAACACTCACACCAAGTTTCGTCAAAATCCATCAAGAATTGTGCCTTCTAGAGTACGGAAAGAGGTGACGGCAATATACGCCCCCCATTTCATGTGGGCGTATAAAAAGCTAAGAATATGTTATATGAGAGAAAACGGGGTTCATCGACAGTTTTTTGGGAAATATAATATGGAGCAGTTCCATAACATTTCTTCGTCATGAGCGAGTCAAATGACTAATTGGAGTCTAAGACTAAAGAGTCTGTTTTCTATTCCTGCGCTATAGTAAAGAGTTTTTTTTTAGAAAAGTGGTAAGTTTAGTGATTTGATGTGTTTTGACTCCATGTAATTCATTGTAAACTTATCTCATTTCATGGCGGGGGTGTAACTGCTTTGGACTTTAAGAAGCTTTAGGAACTCTGAGTCTGTAGTGTGAAAAGATTTATCAAAATTCATACCAATTAGGATTTCCAGCATTTTTACCAATTTCAGCTTCATGTAAGTGTTTTGATACAGCAGTGCATAAAGCTGGAGAACTGCAACTTGGAAATTCACTTGACAAAGACTGAAAAAATAAATAATGTACAATATTTAAAAAAAAGCTTGCCAGACAAGTTAATATACGCCCACCGGCAGCTTTGCATTTAAATAAAAATATTTGACAGTAACAATTACCAGTATGAAATATTCAATATTCAGTCTTACACTTCTTTTGAACTTTTTGGGGCGATATTGTATAATAATACCTAGTTTAGTCGAAATCTGTCAAGATTTGAACCTTCTAGCATACATGTGTAATCTACCGATGTTGTCGGGTTTCTACCGCTTTTGCATGTTGTCTACCGCTCTACCAGCGGGATACCCCATTCTACCGATTTTTGGTTTTTTTCCTAATCAAATTTTCACAGGACCTACCGTTTTCAATGCTCAAATTCACTACCATAAATCAACAAAATATCTATCATTACTTGTATCTTGATTGTCGGTAACACGCGTTAATCTCATCACGTAATAATATTATCATTGCCTAATTAATTAATCCCCCAATTAAGATGGTAATTTGATCTATTTTCACCCGATAATGTGTATTTTAAGCCCACGTGACACACTTTTTATAACAACATCCGGTAGATTCTATTTTCGCTTTTATAATAAATTTTACGGTAGCACTACTATTACTAAAAGATAGCTTGCCAGGCAAGGTAATATACGCCCACTGATAGCTTTGTTTGAAATTTAATATTTGTTAGAAAATAGCAAACATAGATACCAGGAAATATTCAACTTATACCCAAATCCATCACAAACTGTGCCATCACAAGTTAAAAATCAAACACATTTGTAAGAATAACGGCAATAACTTGTATTTTATATTTCAAAAGGTTTAGTTTTGATTGTGATCAATTTCATCAAGTTGTCAAATTTGTTTTAGACTTCTGCTTTGTAGAATAAAATTTTTTCGATTTCCATGATTTTTCTATAGGGTTTATCCTTGGGTGAATACGAACACTCAAACCAAGTTTCGTCAAAATCTGTCAAGAATTGTGCCTTCTAGAGTGTTTACGACCTAAAAAATGAACGGTTTTGCAAGAACAAGGGCAATAATTCATACTAAATATTTTTCCTATAGTAGCCTACTTATCCAGCAACTCAATTCAATCTTCCAAGAAACAAAACCTTTCCCCTATGACCCATGTTTAATTTCATTTTTGTATCAGCACAATTGGTGAAAATGAAATGATTAAGCAAACCTTTTCTCTTGAATGACATTTATAAAATGAAATCAGATGCACTGCTGCATCTTGGGATGTCACAAGACTAAGCTATGATTGGATATCTGTCTTGGATTTTCCACTTGGTCTATTTATAGTATCTTATGATGCTGTACATGTATGGTGGCTGGTTAGGGACATGTTAAATGATTAAATTAAATTTTCTTATTTGTTAACCAAAATAGTTTCTCAGGAAAATAATGACATCTATTGTAAATTGTGATTATGAACAAAAAAATTGTGACTTGTAGAGTGATTACGAGCTAAAAATTGAACGTGTTTTCAAGAACAAGGGCAATAATTCATACTAAATATTTTTCGATTTCGCTGATTTTCAATAGGGTTTATCCTTGGGTGATTACGAACACTCATACCAAGTTTAGTTAAAATCCTTCAAGAATTATGCCTTCTAGAGTGTTTACAAGCTAAAAATTGAACGCATTTGCAAGAACAAGGGCAATAATTCATACTAAATATTTTTCGATTTCGCTGATTTTCAATAAGGTTTATCCTTGGGTGATTACAAACACTCATACCAAGTTTCGTCAAAATATGTCAAGAATTGTGCCTTCTAGAGTGTTTACGAGCTAAAATTAACAAGGGCAATAATTCATGCTAAATATTTTTCGATTTCGCTGATTTTCAATAGGGTTTATCCTTGGGTGATTGCGAACACACATACTAAGTTTCGTTTAAATCCGTCAAGAATTGTGCCCTGTAGAGTGTTTACGAGCAATTGTGGACGGACGGACGGATGGACCGACGGACATGGGTGACGACAATATACGCCCCCCATTTCATGTGGGCGTATAAAAACGAAACCTTCAGGTCTTCATAGTATTTCATACTGTCAGTGTCAATCTGTGAGGTCTATATTAGGCCTATATAACATAGACGTCGTTTCAGAATTATTTTCCATTATCGGCAGATTATCATACGCGACTGGATGTCTAATTCTTATGTAAACTCAAAACTCAAACAAAGTAGGCTTCTAGAGTGTTTACAGGCTAAAACTTGAACGCGTTTTTTAAGAACAAGGGCAAAAACTCAAATAAAACATCTCTCAATTCTTCTGATACCTGATCGGGTTTATCCTTGGTTGATAACAAACACTCACACCAAGTTTCGTCAAAATCCATCAAGAATTGCGCATTCTAGAGTGTTAATGGGCTTAAAATTGAACGCGTTTTCAAGAACACGGGCAATAACTCATACTAAATATTTTTAGATTTTTATGATTTTCAATAGGGTTCATCCTTGGATGATAACAAACATTCACTCCAAGTTTCATCAATATCTGTCAATAATTCAACCTTCTAGAGCAGTTACTAGCTAAAAATTGAACGTGTTTTCAAGAACAAGAGCAATAACTAATCATTTTTCCATTTTTCCTATTTTAAATGGTTCATCCTTGGATAATTAGTAACACTCACATCAAGTTTCATCTAAATCCGTCAACAATTATGCCTTCTTGAGTGTTTACAAGCTAAGAATTGAATTCGTTTTCAAGAACTAGGGCAATAACACATACTAAATATTTCTCGATTTTTCTGATTTTCAATAGGGATCATCCTTAGGTGATAACAAACATTCACATCAATTTTCGTCATAATCTGACAATAATTGATCCTTATAGAGTGTTTACAAGCAAATGACGGCTGTGGGTTCCAATTTCAATTTCCGTGTGGTAGTCCGCTGATCTTGGATAAGTCATTATTCCATTCAACCTAGCTGTAAATGTGTACAAGAAAATTTGGACAAGAACCAGATGGTAGAAAGGATCCTTTACTGGGAATCTAAGATGTTATCCTTGTAAAATATAGTTGTTTGTTTCTTTCTTTCTATCTTATTTGTATACTTAGATAATACAGAATGTGTAGTACATACCAGCAATAAATCTTGAGCAGAAATTCTAACAGAATAAGAAAAACTATCATCATCCTCATCCTCAACGAATTGATCAGGATTATTACTCCAGTTTCTTATCTGGAATTAAAAAAATCATACTATGTTCTTTTGCATATTAGGCCTTTTCTAAAATTGAAACGAAGACCTTAACTGGTTGCTAACACAAATTAAATTGTAAGGATGAGTAGTGTACTCTAATTCTAAATAGTTTAAGAAGAATATCACACATTCAATTTCAGTTATTATAATTTACCTGATCTTCAGACATCTGCATATATATAACAACATAATAAATAATATCATTCACTGTTTTCTTGACAGTACTTCTGAATTTAGATGTTTCAATAAGCCCATGAACAAATTCAAATACACTGTACACTAAATTCTCAAAACCTAATATCTCCCCTGAAATATAACATCTTTTACATCAATAACAGTTCGCTGGCAATTAAATATTTAAAGAAACTTTCTCATTGATGCATTTTTGATGATGAAAATACTTTTTGGAAATAAAGTGAGCTGTGACAAATGAATATGATCAACGGTACAACAGCAAAAACTCTGTTAGTATTTGATCATTTCAAGGATTATGTTATTCTTCAAACTAATTCATGAAAACTTTCAGACTCCTGGTTCATATTGTGAAAAAATTAACATAAAACTTGCCTTCTGAATCAACTACATCATCTACTTCTTCTACTTTATTAACAACAGTTCTAACATAACTAGATTGTCCAGTTACAGAAAATAGTCATGTGTAATGATCGGCACAGAAAATAGACATGTGTAATGATTGGCACAGAAAATAGTCACGTGTAATGATTGGCACAGAAAATAGACATGTGTAATGTTTAACACAGAAAATAGTCATGTGTATGATTGGCACAGAAAATAGACATGTGTAATAAATGGCTCTGAAAATAGACATGTGTAATGATTAACACAGAAAATAGTCATGTGTAATGATTGGCACAGAAAATAGACATATATAATGATTGACACAGAAAATGTAACAGAAAATAGATTGTAAGGATTGGCACAGCTTTAAAAGATTGCTTGCCAGGTAAGACAACATATGCCCACTGGCAGATGTCAGAGATGATAACTAAATCTTTATATATTAATAAATAAAATATATTAAAGATCTTCAATAATAATACAAATTTCGCATTTTGAAGATCTTCATTATTCATTTGTAGTTCAAAAACCTGAATATCTAATCAGTTTAGGGTCAGTTATGCTGAGTTTTTCCACAAATTGTTTTAAATCAATAGCATAACCCAGAGGTATTGAATTATCACGCTACATAATAACATATCATCAAATTCACACTAACAGGGTCTCATCTACATAGAAAAATTTGAACATTATTGAGATCTCATTAATATATTCCTGCATACCAAGTTTCATCAAGATCCGATAAAAACTGTAGCACCCAACGTGTTTACAAGTCAAATTTGATGTATTTTTACTAAGTCAATGGCAATACTTCAAAAAAAGTTCATCGGAAAATCGTCAAATTCCAACTTGACTATCATCTTATCATTCACAATGCTCACACCAAGTTTCATCAAAATCCATTGAAAATTGTAGCTTCTATTGTGCCCACAACAAAATTTTGACTCGATTTTACTAAGTCAAGGGCAATAACTCGAAAAAGGTTCATAGAAAAAACGTCAAATTCGAACTTAACCGCTGTCTTATCAATCCCAAGTTTCATTATAATCAAATGAAAACTATAGTCTCTATTGTGCTCACAAGAACTGTTGATGGACGGACAGGGGCAACGACAATATACGACCACATATTCATGTGGGCGTGTAAAAATGACATATCATTAAATATCGTGTCAATTTTTTACCTTTCACTTAAGAGTTTCCTGTAAACAATGTAAATATTCTTTCATTTAGCTTAAATATTAATTAACAGCTTTACCAGCATTTGAAGAATTCTTGGAAATTCATTGATTCAAACCTTGGAGTATAGATTAACTGAAGACAGCATGACGTCATTTGCCATTCACATCAAAGTGAAGCCACTTAGCCAGAGTGGCCGCCATCTTGGTAGACCCAAAAAGGCTATACTGCATGCATAGTAAACACGCTTATCCACCGAAAAACTTGAAGATCTAAAACACATATAGAAGTTTGCAGTCACTGTATTTTATAAGTAGACCTTGTAAAAATGTCATTTGTCATTTTCAAAGAGAAAATATAGATTTTTTTTAGAACAAATGCATATAATTATTGAAAGTACATAGGTTATTCCTAATATAAACTGGATTATTCTTTAACAAAATAGATAGTGTCAATGAGGACAAAAGTAAGTCATTACTTAAGTAGATCTAGTAGATTCTAGTAGATCTGGAAGATCTAGCCATTCTAGGTCAATGTTTGCGATCATAAAAAAAATTAAAAGCAACTTACGTATGAAAAGTGATTGAACGTCGTCTGTCTCTATCTGGTCTATTGGTGCAGCCGTATGCAGAGTAAGAGGGCATTATATACAATAAAAATAACTGAAGTAGACAAACTAGATTATTGTTTTTTTTTTTGGTTGACCAAGATGGCAGACAGCAGGGTGACGTGGCATCACGTTAATGACATCGTGTCATCAATCTATACTCCTTGATTCAAACTGTAATTCCACTTCTAATATGAATTAATCATTTGTTAATCTTGTCATTAGACAAACTTGAAGAATAGATTGGTGTTCTGCGGCCTAGAAGCTTAATCTTAATTACAATGTCAATGAAATAGCATATTTACTCATGATGATGATTCTATTACTAACTTTAATATTTACACTGGTATTTCTTAAAGAAAAGTTATAGTTTCTGTTAGCAACAGTCTAGAATATGCTTAGAAAAAGGATACTATTCAGCACTCTGTGTAAATATAGACCAAACACTGGGTAACATCTGATTTAACCATTGATTCATTGTTTTTGGAAAGCATTTCACTAATGTTGTTATTGCCTAAAATAAATGAATTAAATTGCCAGTATGTATTTTTCTTTGGAAGATCTGTTACATAAAGACTATACACAGCATTTAGCACTTGATAAGGAGAAACCTAGTACTTTCCAGATCAATATAAAATGAAATGAAATGAAATGAATGGAGTTTTACGTCCTACTTTTCTGCACCATGTGGGCTAATGAAGACGGGCAACACCATGCAGGGTGCAATGAGGGAAATTTTTGCCAGGAGAGCAACATTAGCCTGCTCTTTTCCGATTTCCAACTGTCGAGGGATCGTTAACGTGCACAGCCTGTAGCACACGGGGCCTCGGCTTATTGTCCCATCCGAACGACTAGACGCTTTTCCATGTCAGACACTCGTAGCTGCATCACTGACAGGGGGAAACCGGGTTGAAAAATCCGAAGGTATTATCTCGACCTATGCCGGGATTGAACCCAGGACCTTCAGGTTAGCGAGCTCCCCCAGATCAATATAAAGGTAAGAAAAGAAATCTCAAACTACCTTGACAATTTCAGTCTTTAAACCACTGTCTGATGTATGACTGTCTGGTAACTGTAATGCCTGAACCAATGCTTCTGTGAACTGAGGTAAAACTGGGAACAATAACTGCTTTGCAACACCCTAATAACATAATCAGTTTATAGTTATTTGATGCCATAACTCAAAACAAATCTTGAAAACTCAATAATTCATCACATGATTATTTTATCTAAACTTGATTTACAGATCGTATTAGCTCATATATATCATAAAGTGATTCTAAAAAATAACATCATTTCATTTCTACTTTTATTTTAATTCCATGGGTCACTTGCAATTCTTGTTAATAAAGACGATAAGAAGATACAATGTTACCAAGTTCCATTGAAGGATTACCTTTTGAACTTCATTCATAGTGGCTATCATACCAGCACATATGTTAAAAATATGAACAGCTCTTCCTCTTGTTCTGACACCATACACCTGTATGAATAATTGTAAAGAATAACAGACTTTACAATTTGACATAATGATATCCATAAATCTGCTATTAGCAATGTTTGTTTCTATATATTGAATCTATATTCATGTAATCAAAAGCAAATTGAGTGCAAATCATCTCTAGTTCACTAGCCATATTCAAAACAAAATTGTTTTAGTCAACATTGTTGATCAAACCTTCTACCAAGACATCAAAAAATACTCCTAGATCATGTATTGCTTTCCTTTTACCATGAGTTTGAACAATATAACACATAATATTTCACATACATGGCCACACTTATAACTATCAAGGGATTCACTGTTTATTGTCCCATCCAATGTAAGTGAAATTGATCTCTTTTGGCCGGTAAGGCAATCATATTTGTAACAAAATCCCAACAAGCATGCTTTGATCAATTAAATGGAAAAAATCCAACTTAATACCTCAGCTTGAAGAAATATTTTATATAACTCAGGTAAAATAATGGGAGCTACATGAGACATCTGTGTATCTGTTATATCTTGTGAAAATTCTACAATAAAAAAATTACGTAACTAACGTAAACTATTTGGCTGTATTAGATCACCTCATATCCTGCTTAAATCGTGACTATGATATTGAATGTATATTCATTCTAAAGATAGCTTGCCAGGCAAGGTAATATACGCCCACTGGCAGCTTTGATTTTGAATAAAAATATTTAGCAGTACAGTAACAATCACCAGTATGAAATATTCAACCGTATTCAGTCATACACTTCTTCTGAACTGTTTAGGGCAATACTGAATAATATTGAGTATGAGTTATTGCCCTTGTTCTTGAAAAAGTGTTAAATTTTTAGCTCGTGAAAACTCTACAAGGCAAATATTCAATCTTCAGAGCGGGAATGAATAATAAAACCAAGATTTTGTCAATAGGGGTTCATCCTTGGGTGATTACAAACACTCATGCCAAGTTCCATCAAAATCCATCAAGAATTGTCCCTTCTAGAGTGTTTACAAGCTAAAAATTAAACGCGTTTTCAAGAACAAGGGCAATAATTTATACTAAATATTTTGCGATTCTTCTGATTTTCAATAGGGTTCATCCTTGGGTGATTACGAATACTCATACCCAGTTTTGTCAAAATCTGTCAAGAATTGTGTCTTGTAGAGTGTTTACAAGCAAGTGTGGACGGACTGACGGACGGACATGGATAACTGCAATATATGCCCCCCATTTCATGTGGGCGTATAAAAAATCATCAGAAACAAACACTTTTTACAACAATTGAAAGACATAATTGTGAAAAGTAGTTAATGCATACCTGTCAAAACTCTCATTGCTCCATGAACAGCATTAGGATCCCCACTGACTAATGCTTGCATCATGATTTGAAATAGATCTGGCCATGTTTCTGGCCAATCCCAGTGAGCAATAGCCGATATTGCATAAGCTATACTTGTCCTTACTTTACTCACAGACTCGCATAAACCAGGGGGTAGAAGCTCTCGAATTCTTTGTTTCGCCTGAAAAATATATACAATAATACTAACAGTTAGTACAACCAGTGCCAGACAGGCTATAAGCCCACACAACTTTAATCTTTTAACCTTAACTTAAAAAGAATTATGACCCCTTATAATATAAAGGATTACAAGCCAATGTTAATATAATTGATGAAATTTAACAGGCTGACTTGATGAAGCCCTGTAAAGATTATTATGCATGAAAATAATTAAAGGCATACGTACCATGGAACCTGTTTCTGGTGGTCTGAACTTGTCAGAATGTCGTGACCAGTGAGCTTCCACATATTGCTTTAATAAAACTGAAGCCAGCTGTCTTATTGCTAGTGGTCCTTCGGAATCAACTGTTAATTCAGCTAAATGAACTCCAAATTCTTAAAAAAAATCAAGGACTGAATGTAATTGTGGTAATCAGAAATTGCTTTATTGATACGGTATTTCTTTTTATGTCCGAAATGTTATTCAGATATTCAAGAAAATAATTCAAGTTGGTTTGCATCTTTCTGCTTCATTGAGTTGGCTTACTGAAACTGAAGGACAGGATTTGGAGTTCTAAAATCATATTAACAAATTACAGTACAAGTAGTAAGTTTTTCATGCGTCCGTTTACTAAGCTTATATTTTTAAATTTTGTAATATAAAATGATCAATAGAATATATCTATGCAAGTTTCATTGGTGAACTTTCTGTTAGTTACAAAAATTTCACCCACAAACATTCATCTTTGGTTTTTGATTATATCTTATAGTTTTATAAAATAAAAAAAAATCCAGCGAAAAGTATATAGAATAGATCTAGAAACAAAACAAAAAAAGGTAGGCCTAAAACATTAAATCCCTGAAACAATCGTTTAGCATTTCTGAATTCTTTGTTTATCTTGTAAATCTCTCCAGAAGTCCAGAGTCGGCCAGTGCTTCTATAAGAGAATAACCTATCTCTTATAAAACCTTATACAAGGATACTCTGTACTGCTGTCTACCTATTTCAGTATTTGACTAGACACAAATACTATTAAGCCGTAAAATTAGTAGATCTCTATGAATAGTTGCATACGTAATGTAAAATTATTCTTTGAAAAATTGATTGAACACGAGACTCATGCTTACTTACTAGTTACTGGTACAAAATAGGCCTAGTAGTGTCAATCGTTTATTTTGATGTCATTGTTTAGAAAAACGTAGATTACCATTTACTAACCTTCAGTAACTTCTAAGGCTTTAATCTGATTTTCGCCTTCAGTTCGCGTGTTGTGGTCAGGCGACAAAATCGCCGATAGACTTTCTAATAAAATGTCTTTTAAAGATCTCGTGCGATCAACTCCCGCCATATTTGTTAAAACTGTTGAATCTGGATTTCTATTAAGTAATAAGAAACGAAATAATCTTTTGTATTTGGCCTCTCTAAAATATGTTGTTGGAATGCATCGTGACCTTATTTATCAGAGTCCATTGTAATTTTTCCTTTTTAGGGGGAAAATCAAATATATTATTTTAATATAATTATATTGTTTCAATCTCTTGGGCTTGGGGGAAAAGTAAAGTAGGCTTAAACTTAAAGCCAAAGCTGAAAATTTGTTGATAAATAACTTCTTATAAGAAAAGATGCTAATTTACCAATAATTAAGTCATGTATGTTTTGACCTATCGCTAGGTTAAAGAAATCTCATTGAAGTTTTAAAGTTTGAGTTAAGTGGAGAAAATTTTATTTTGACTTCAAGTCAAATTAAAATCCATTTACACTTAAAGTTAACCTGAATCTAAAATTCGAGGATATCAAAACTCTGGATAGATAGATGTGTGAACAGGTTCAATAATTGCATTATAAGGTTGCGCTGGTAAATTATCTGTCAAAATTATTCCTCCCAACATTTTGTAGTCTAAAAACAAACTTTCTCAGAGAGTCTAACACCTCACCTTCAGGAACATTAGTTTCATAAATTGAAATTATATAAATCATAGGCATAGGCCTAATAAGATAATTTTCTACCAGATATTTTTGTCTGAGCAGAGTAAAAAAAAAATTTTTTCCATTATTATCATGAGAAATTTAGAATGTCTTTGCATTGATAAAGATAGCTTGCCAGGTAAGGTAATATACGCCCACTGGCAGCTTTGATTTTGAATAAAAATATTTGTCTTTAGAAAATTTTTGGCAATATTTTGAAATTTTAAATAATCACCACCCTTCTGTAAAACTATCTGCGAATATTTCTGAACAAAGTATGGATTTTTTGGATACTACGGTATTCAAAGGACCAAGTTTCTCTCAAACAAACAAATTAGACATCAAAGTATATTTTAAACCAACGGATACTTACCAACTTTTATATAAAAACTCTTTTCACCCAAAACATACTCTTACGGGAATAATCAAATCACAAATTTTGCGTTTTTTTAGAATTTGCACTCAAAAAGTAGATTTTGATGCGGCTTGTAGACTAGTTTTCAGTAAATTAAGAGAGAGGGGCTATTCCAAACGATTCTTGCGCAAAATTAAAAATGACACTGTTTTGGACCTTTTGAAAATTAATAAACCCCCTCCTCCAATAAATAACTTTGGCGCAATACCATGTAGAGGTTCTCGGTGTCGCACCTGTGAACATATTCATATGTCTCATTATTTTCAAAATAAAAAAACGGAAAAAAATTTATCACGTGTACGGATAAAAATATCATTTACCTAATTTCGTGTAAAAACTGTGACAAACAATACGTCGGCGAAACCCAGAACGCGCTGCGAACTCGATTTAGCGGCCATCACTTTGATATAATTCATAGCAAAAATAGACCAATTTCTCATCATTTTAATTTACCTGACCATTCCATTGAAGACCTTCTTATCATGCCTATTGAATCAATTCCTGACTCTGATCTTATCAAACCAAAAACCAAACGATTACAGATTACAGCTACTGGATGGACCAACTCCAAACAGTGGCTCCAAATGGACTTAACATCCAGCATGATAATCAAATGATTCCATTTGTTGTCACCTTTAATCATACAGCTGCCAAAACCACATCCATCGTCAAACAGTATTACAGTGAATTACAGAACAGATTTCCGAATGTATTTACCAAACGACTTGTAATTGCCTATAAGCGCAATAAAAACCTTAGTAATTTTCTGGTCCGTGGTAGACTCGATCCCATTGAATCCAATAATACTGGACCCCCTCTCTATTTTCTAGCTCATTAAGTATAATATATTCTAATCCTTAAATATAGATGTTTATCTTTTCAGAACCTATTCATACTCTCTTCTTTTAAGAACTGGTAATAAGAAAACTTTCATATTATAGACTTTTGTTTATTGTAGATTACTCGTGGGTGTTTTTTGAACTTAATACTAACTATGCTAACTTCACCTTATCTTGTATTGAACATTTATCTCTTTATTTGTGACCTTGGCCAGTGCTTGAAAGCGTTTTCAAGAACAAGGTCAATAACTCCTATGAAACGTATTTCGATTTTTTTGATTTTCGATAGGGTTCATCCATGGATGATAATAAACAATTTCACCAAGTTTCGCCAAAATCTGACAATAATTGAGCCTTCTAGAGTGTTTACAAGCTAGAAATTGAACGCGTTTTCAAGAACAAGCCTAGGCAATAACTCGTACCAAATATTTTTTGATTTTTCTGATTTTCAATAGGGTTTATCCTTGGATGATAACAAACAATCATGCCAAGTTTCGTCAAAATCCATCGAGAATTGTCCCTTCTAGAGTGTTTACGAGCTAAAGATTGAACGCGTTTTCAAGAACAAGGGCAATAACTTATACTAAACATTTTCTGATTTTCAATAGGGTTCATCCTTGGGTGATTACGAACACTCACAGATTTTAGATTTACTTAAACTATGCTTAACGCGCAATGACTTCTTTTTTAATGGAAAAATATATTTACAAACATCTGGAACTGCTATGGGCAAACGATTTGCCCCTAGTTATGCGAATATTTTTATGGCCGAGTGGGAGAGGGAGATAGAAAATATCTCACCGTTTAAACCTTTATTTTATGGAAGGTTTCTTGACGATATTTTTATCATTTGGTCCGATACTCTAAAACATTTCTGGGAATATTTTGAAATTTTACACAACCACCACCCTTCTGTGAAATTGACAGCAAATATCAGCGAAAACAGCATGGATTTTTTGGACACCGCGGTGTTCAACGGCAACAACTTTCTTTCTTCTAAAAAAATTAGACATTAAAGTATTTTTTAAGGAAACTTCACTTCAACCTTCCCGATCATTCCATTGATGACTTTCTCATCATACCCATAGAAACAGTTTCTACATCACCTAGCATGAAACCTAAGCTTATAGACTTCTACAACGCGAAAGTTGGATCGATCAACTGCAGACGGCAGTGGCTATTTACCACTGGCGTGGTAAGCGTGGTAAATAGCCATAAGTACCCTTACAGCTATTTACCACGGCGTGGTAAATAAAATTAGTCATGATTTGATATTCTTTTGGGAAAAAATTGCTTAAAACTACCTAAATATTTAAAATAACGATTTTGCAATCAAATAATCACCATTTTCATCAAAAATTCGCTTTTTGAAAAAAAATGTCGTGTTTGTTTACAAATAAATGTCAAGGCCGATTGTGAAGAGTTCATGGTTCAAGGATGAAAACTTCTCAATTCAAACTTATCTAAAAAATTCCGCGTTGTATGAAATTTGGTGTACATTCATTTGTTCATTCGGCAATAGATTTTTATTACAAATTAGTCAAAATTTACTTTTAACCTTGTGAATGAATTGTAAAGCAGGCTTATTACAAGTATATCTATTCAAAATCAATTTCCCCAAACGATCGTAAGGGTATTTTGTGTGAGAATAAGTTTTGAAAATAAATTCCTGCATTTTATGCAATGTGTCTCCTAATATTACTACGCTTTTAAATGGTACAACAGTGGCGTATTTAGAGGGTAGTTACCTCGAAAAGCCAAAAAGAGGGTAAATGTGTCCCTCACTCCCGTCAATGAAATCCTGGCTACGCCACTGAGTAAGTAGACCTAATGTATATTTCCACAAAAATTGTAATGTTGTGTCCTATGGATATTAGGGTGATATGAGAATAAAAATCCCATAAAAGCGCAGGCCTAGGTCATGAAGTTAGAATTTTATATTTATCTAGGTACTGTTAAACGCGTTCGTCCCTATACATTTTCGGTCTTTATCATGTTTGCCCCTAGATCGTTCGCCCTGGGTCCGTTCGCTCCACAATATTTTATGACACAATAACCCATGATCCACAAAATTTGGACAAAATGTTTAAATATGTGTTTAATTGTCAAACTTGGTCAATTATAAATTTAAAAAGGACCCGTCCGCTATCATGTGACTAAAACTGACTTGTTAGTCTTTCATTCAAACCTCTTCCAATGTTGTCTCTCTATACGATTCTATTTTTCTTAGTGTCCAGAATTAAAATGAACTTCGAAACAAACAAATGAATTATGTGAAAATTGTAAAAACTACTTAAAGTTCTCAAGAAAGTGGAAACATGGCTTACTTTTCAACTCGATTCATGCAGCATGGATCAATTTTTTTGCGACCATGAGGACAAATAATTTTTTAAAAGGGACAGTTACGCCAATCATACTTTAGTCTCAGAAACGGGATTGTTTTAGCTAAGCCAATCAGTAATAGTGTTCACAGGTCACCGTCCAAATTTGAGCCACAAACTCACATGTGAATTATCCGTGTTTGAAATTAGTATACAGAAGATGTCTGCAGTAATGATATAGATATTGACAATGTTTGATTGTAGTTTGTAGTAGAGGCCAGTAATGATACAGATATTGACAGCGTTTGACTGTAGTATGTAGTAGAGGTCAGTAATGATGCAGATATTGATAGTGTTTGACTGTAGTATGTATTCGAGGTCAGTAATGATACATATATTGATACTGTTTGACTATAGTATAGTTTAGTAATGGAACAAATATTGATAGTGTTTGACTGTCGTAAGTAGTAGAGGTCAGTAATGATACAGATATTGATAGTGTCTGACTGTAGTATGTAGTAGTGGTCAGTAATGATACAATTGATAGTGTTTGACTAGTAAGCAGTAGAGGTCAATAATGATACAGATATTGATAGTGTCTGACTGTAGTATGTAGTAGTGGTCAGTAATGATACAGATATTGATGGTGTTTGCCTGTAGTGTGTAGTAGAGTTTACTAATGATACAGATATTGATGGTGTTTGCCTGTAGTGTGTAGTAGAGTTTACTAATGATACAGATATTGATGGTGTTTGACTGTATTATGTAGTCACTGTCAGAAATACGTTAGGTATGTTGTCTAGGTTAGTAATGATACAGATATTGACAGTGTTTGACTGTAGTTTGAGTAGAGGTCAGTAATGATATTGGTAGTGTCCGACTGTAGTATGTATTCGAGGTCGGAAATGATACAGATATTGATAGTGATTGATTGTAGTATGTAGTGGAGGTCAGACTACATGCTACAGTCCGACACTACCAATATCATTACTGTATCATTACTGACCTTGACAATACACTACAGTCAGACACTATCACTATCTGTATTATTACTGACCTAAAGAACAGGCACTATCAATATATGTATTATTACTGACCTCGAATACACACTCAAACACGTCAATATCTGTATCATTACTGACCTCTATTGCATACTACAGTCAAACAGAATCAACATCTGTATCATTACTAACCTTTACTACATACTACAATCAAACAGTATCAATATCTGTATTTTTTTTCTGACATCTGGAAACAATTCGGTTAGCTCAAAAGAGTGAGTCGGTCGAGTCTTGGATATTTTTCAACACTTTAATGAGGTTTCTACTTGATTATTTTGAAATTTTATCTAAATTTATCTAAATTTATCAATAATTGTGCCTTCTTCAGTGTTTACTAGCTAAAGAACAAGTTATATTGTGAGTTCATCGTTTGTTGATAATAAACAAATTTACCAGTTTTGTCCAAATTGTGTATTCTACACGTTTCCAAGAACAAGGGCAATAACTCATATCAAATATTTCTTAAATTGTTTTATTTTCATAGGGCTGGTGATAGGTTCTCGAGTATTTACAAGCTACAGACTGAACGCATTTCGAAAGACAAGAGCAATCCCTCATAACAATCAAAACATTGTAAATTTACAATTTTATTGATTTTTCATTCATAATAATCACTTCTATGATACTATTATAATCAAGTAAGCAATTAGATGCTCAGTAGGATTGGGCTTTGTGGTTTTCCTTGCACCAATAGCCCGAATATAGGAACAGTGTCGACAAACCCTACGCATATCATCAGCCGCATTGAGTCTATTTCTATCTTTAGTTTTGATGACTAAAGTGTCGAGGTTTGCTTGGGTTCGTCGTGTTGAAGGGCACCAGAAATCCTGAAACTCTTCTCCTACAATAGCCTGGGAACCAGGAATATACAATATTATAGCTTGGAAATTAAAAATTCAATAAGTCTGTCAAAAGCATAGCTTTAAAATGTATATATAAACGAATTGCAGACTAATAGACAGCTTGAAATGCACGCAATACCGAAGTATGATCATAAACACGCATTCCATATGGTTCACATCACATAGCGATTGCAGAAATTTTTAGACTGTGAAATTTAGCATCCAAAATGCACGAAATCCATAGTCACCGATATTGAATATGGCGGATATTTTTCTTCGCTAGAGATATTAAAATGCTTATTTTAGTGTGTTAACAATGTGAAATGTTCACAATATTTATATTTTTGAAACCCAAAAAAGTGTGATTTTTTAAAATTTGAAAAAAAATTGGATGAGATCCACCAAAGAAAAACCACGCCAGTGGTAAATAGCCACTGCCACTGCAGACTGTGATGCCAAATGGACTCAACATTCAACATAACCAGATAATACCCTTTATAACGACATTTGATTCTACAGCTACCAAAACCTCCATAATAGTCAAACGCCATTACTCGGAACTTCAGAACAAATTTCCTCATGTATACACAAAACGTTTGGTTGTAGCTTACAAAAGAAATCAAAATCTTAGCTATTTCCTCTTTCACGGTAGACTTGAACCATTGAACAATGTCCATTCATCCTAGGAGCATAGATTTCTTAATATAAATGTATCATGTTCTATCAATAAACTAATCGATTTCTAAGTAAGATTTCAGGGAATACTTATTTCAGGACTGGTGCCATGGCTATATACAGTATATTATATAACATGTAGTGTATGTTTGTGTGTGTGTCTTTTCAACTAAAATCATACTAATGACTAACTAATTTTCACATAATTAATAGACTTATCTATTGCTCTGTGACCTAGGCCAGTGCTTTCATTGAGACTCGTCTCAATACACCCTAACACCAAGTTTTGTCAAAATCCGTCAAGAATTGTGTCTTGTAGAATGTTTACGAGCAATTGTGGACGGACGGACGGACATGGGTGACGGCAATATACGCCCCCCATTTCATGTGGGCGTAAAAAAATATAAACATGAGCACACATTCTGTCTTCAAAATATGTTTTTACAGAGAGCAATTTTCAGCCCAAATTTTTTTACTTTTTTGGTGTATATTTCAAGTAAGGATATGTGTTTCTTTTATTTTAATCAATTAAAAGGTGTTCCTTATTTTCATACGCCTACATGAAATGAGGGGCGTATATTGCCGTCACCCATGTTCGTCCGTCAGTCCGTCCACAATTGCTCGTAAACACTCTAAAAGACACATTTCTTGGCGGATTTTGACAAAACATGGTATGATTGTTCGTAATCACCCAAGGATGAACCTATTGAAAATCAGAAAAATCGACAAATATTTAGTATGAGTTATTGCTTGAAAACGCGTTCAATTTTTAGCTCGTAATCACTAAAAGGCATGATTCTTGCTGGATTTTGACAAAACTTGGTTTTATTATTCAGTCCCGTGCTGAAGATTGAATGTTTGCCTTCTGGAGTTTTCACGAGCTAAAAATTGAACAAGAAGGGCAATAACTCATACTCAATATTATTCATTATCGCCCTAAAGAGTTCAGAAGAAGTCTGAAGGTTGAATATTTCATACTGGTGATTGTTACTGTACTGCTAAATATTTTTATTCAAAAATCAAAGCTGCCAGTGGGCGTATATTACCTTGTCTGGCAAGTTATCTTTTATCAATGCAAAGATATTCTAAGACTAACAATTTTTGGCTGATATTTCAATCCTCTTTAAAATTCAAAAAACCTTTGCTTTGCTCAGACAATAGCTTGAAATTTCTTGGAGGGAAGTGTGTTAATATTCAATGTAAGGTTTCAAACCTTTATTGTTCTATGAACACAAAATCAATCTGAGACAATAGTTACTATTTCAATTCGCACAAAATTATATTTACCAACAAAAGTAAAAATAGCTTGCCAGGCAAGGTAATATATGCTCACTGGCAGCTTTGAAATATTTGGCAGTACAGTAACAATCACCAGTATGAATCATTCAACCTTCAGTCATACACTTCTTTTGAACTTTTTGCGGAGAGACGGCGAGAAACGCTTGTAATGTCTCTTTAAGTAGTTGGGCGGTCTACCTCCGGAGCATTATGACGCAAAGCAACATGGGTCTCGACGGGCTTATCAGGTTGAACACAAATAACCAATGTAACAGTTTATTATAAAAGTATAAAAAGGACGCATCGCATTTACTCAAACAATATAACATTCATATCTATCTTGACTAAACTTCAATAAATATACTGGCTTCCAATAAACCAATCTAAGCTATACACTGTATTATGGACGAATAAGCCGAATAAGCCGTGAAAACTGAAAAATACAAAATAATCATTTTGAATAAGCTTATCGAATGAATACACAAAGTTACACCGAAAACGAAATAGATATACAATTAATAAACTAATGATACCTCCATGAGCCTTTGTAATTACGCAAATTTCGCAGCCCAAACAAATCTTTTGGCGCACTCAAGAAAAACATCAAAACCGGAAACGGAATAATCGAATATGTATACTTCGATATCGCAATAAAATCACGTATTCACACTGTGAATGTTGACTTCGAATCGGTGGATACTACAGCAGCTACAACGCTTTTTTGATTTTCAATAGGGTTCATCCTTGGGTGATAACAAACATTCACACTAAGTTTCGTCAAAATCTGTCAATAATTGAACCTATTACTGTCGGACTACATTGAGCTTTGAATTTAATTTTTTCTCTCATTTCATAAATATTCAAAATAAAATTTTAAACTTTATGCCATTGGTCTTAGAATCAGTAGTATTTTGTAATTAATCTTTTAATTTGTTCGAAACTGATTGCCAAAATTCGATTCAGAAATCATTGTAGTCAGAGAGTTGAGTGTTTACAAGCTAAAATTGAACACGTTTTCAAGATTAAGCGCAATAACTCTTACTAATTTTTTTTCTATATTTTCCTTCATATCAAGTTTTTCGTCAAAATCAGTCCAGAATTGTGCCCACTAGAGTATTTACGAGCATTTACGGATGGACATGTGTGACAACAATATACAGCCCCCATTTCCTGTGAACGTATAAAAAGACAGAAGAGATTAATCTTTACAACAAGTGCGCAAAAACAATGTAATTATGCAAAGTAAAAAAATATTTATTCGTTTTTTACAATATCTGAGTCTTAAAAAAAACAAAACAGCAAGTACAGGAAATGAATTTTTAATTAAGAATAATGAAGTTATTATTCCAATATTCAAAATCCATAATTGTATATGATTTGTTGGACTACTTCATAATATAGTTGGATAAATTTCTTGCAATTCCGCAGAAAAATTAAGGATCTACAGACATCATTTTAAACAATTTCTTCATTGGATGGAAGATTTTATGATTATGTGTACACATTAAATGAACAGAAATTAAGTACATAAATGCCTCCAACAACATCAGTTAATATTCACTTTGATGATGCTCTTTTATTTCATGTGCATGAAAACCAATTTAATAGAATAATTTAATCCACAATCAAATAACAATATTGAACAGAAAAGTTCCAAAAGCTACCCAGTGACTTGCATAACTCAACTCTGACCATTTATTTAAAGTATGAGACATGGTGTAACCCTGAAAAAGAAATATTGCACTGTTTATTAAGAATGTATGGTTAAATATGAGATCAAACATATTCAAACACAATTTCTGCTGACAAATCTATTACATATTTTTATGTCCAGTATATCCTTTATTCTTTAATAGAATTTACACAATAGTAAAAAGTATGCTCCGACTGTTAATAAAATATTACTCACTACGCACAGCTGGTATAAATGTAAGAGAGAATCTTTAATATATAAGTTACATACCGTTTCTTCTTCTGAACTATTATCAAACATCAAACCAAGATAGGCCAAATGAAATACAGACAAGAACATAAAGAACATGTTGGTCCAGATTACAAAGGGATTCCTCTAAAAATAGAAAATGAAATTGAAGCATGGCTTTGGTACAGATAGAAAAAAATCCAATCATTTCACACTATCTACAAATTAATGATCTACTTTAATCAGTCAAATTAATGGATATTTTACTGGCTCGAAAAGACATTTAAAAAAAAAAATGATTTCAGTTTGTAATTTTTAGATCTAAGAATTTGTATCAGCAATCAGAATGAACATTATAGTTCTGCATGTGATTTGTAGGGTCTGGTTAAATTAATATTTCAATAAGGAGTAATTTCCAGGTGTCACATACATTTTTATACTTATGATCACATTTTTCTTTACATCTTTTTGCTAATATACATGCATCAAAACTTGATGCTAATTTCTGGCGTAGCCCTGAAATTGAGAAATAGAGAATATCAAATATAAAGCAATACATTTTTTTAAATTGATATTAAAATTTTACATAAAAAGATAATCAATAAAATCAAAAGGACAGTGTAAAATATATAACTCACCAAATTCTATATAAGAATAGAAACCTAATGATAAAAGTACAGAAGCAAGTTGAAAATTCAAGCCCTGAAAATATAAAATGCAAAAAGCCATTTGGGTAAGACAAGACACACAATTTTCATTAAATTGACTTTAGCAATCTATCTAAATCTGCATCTCTACCTATATGTGACAGAACAAAATAATAATATTTCTGCTGGTTATATTAAGTGTATCTTAAGTATGACTTACATGAAGCAAGGAACTAGCACCATATGTTAACAAGACTGCTGTAAAATTCCCTAAAGGTCTGGCTGTTTTAAACACATCTAACAAAATAGATCAAAAATATAAATACATAGGAATATATCTACCTGGCACCAAACTCCTGTTATGTTAGCACAAGATAGTATTTATTTATACATTTAACCACCATTAAAAACATGTCATTACCACCAAAATTGGCATTGATCGCATAAAAGATACAGAAAACTGGAAGGAAAGAATTTTACTCTTGATCAGCGTGTAAACGTGTATGACCTTCAATAAGTTATCTTTCCTCGTTATTCCAGTCAACCCAGCATATTTTTTTTAATTGAAAGCAAATCATATTCCCCAGCATATTTTTTGATTGAAAGCAAATCATATTCAATGTTATACAAACTTACAAGTTTTCAGCCAGTGATGCATAGGTAAATTCCAGTTGGTGACTACCTCTACTAATGAATGTGGTAATTCTATTCTATGTGGTTTAGCAACATGGTAATTCCTGGTAATTATCAAACAAAAAGATTACAGATGATATACATCAAATCAATTTGAAAAAATTTAATGGCCTTGTCTCTTCTATTTACAATATTCATTTTTAATCTAAAAATTTTGTCAAGACAAGAATTTCACCCACCACTGTATGTCATCAATAAACTTAGTAGAACCAAAACCAGATAAGACATGGGAAGCTTCTGATAGAAAACATACAAAATAATGACTAAATCTGAAAGACTGGGCATCACGATAAGCTAATATCCACCTGGAATAAAAAGAAAAATAATCTGTTTCAATTGGAACATGTGATTAGTAGAGAGAAAAGGCAAGCAGATTCAGCTTAGGCTTGAACCATTCATATTTCTATTGTCCAAAAATGAATAGGTTTCTGTTATGGGGCTTCCTTAGCATCCTTCCCTACTCATACCTCTGTATTTGTTCTTTTGACGACCATGAATCTATAGACATGAAATTTTGCTCCATTTTTTTTTTTTAACTTTTAGGTTAAATTTGACTTACATGTAAGAACCTTGTATAATAATCCATGATGATAGACATGTAGAAAATATCAAACACATAACAGCTAATATACAGCTAAATAACACTTTTAATATCCATCGAAAACTCTGAAATACATTCCTAATACTAACAATCAACTTATTAGTGACGAGCTAATATATTCATTTGAATTATGATTGACAAATAAAATAAGATCACAAATATATAACAAACACAATATCCGAATAACTTTAAACTTTATTGGTATTTTCATCATATAAGATGGCAATATACTGAATAAAATCGAGAAAATATAAACAATATAATTATCTGGAGGGAATTCAAACCCCTTTCACCCTACAAACAAATGTAATCCTATAATGATGCTTACCAAAGGCAGTGGTTGTTGTATAACAGTAATATAATCTTGAAAGCTAAACCAGGGACCAAATATAACAGAACCAACATGTAAACAATATCCATAAAACTCCAGTAAACCAGGTAAATATGATATCTGATTAGATGATAAATCAAAACTAACAGATATCAATTTCATAGACAGTATCATCTGTGCACCTTAAAATAAAACCAATTAAGTATGAAAAATGGCCATCACACAAATCAGTATAAAACTAGCTAAACTTAATTATAAATAAAAAGCCTTCAATATGTAAGCTTATAACATAACATGCTAACAATCCTATATCACAAGATATAATTTATCTATTTGTTTTTTTCTTTTGCATAGGCATCACAAATGAATAGAAAATTACCCTTGTATAAAAACATCTGAGTTCTACAGTGTTATTAGCTGAAATAACCAGAAATGAGAAAAGTTTACCTCTCATACTATGCCATACTTTACTATCAACCAGAATTAGTTCACTAAAATAAACAGTATAATTTTCATAATAATTTTGTGTGATAAACCTTTTAAATGTTATCATCATATGACATGAAACATTTACAAAACTTAACAAACTGCGATTTAAAACTTAGACAACTAAGGTAACTTTAACATGTATTTAACGTGACAACCAGATAAATCAGTTTCAACCTGTGTTTAAATTGTTTTATCACTTTAATGATTAGAGTAAATTATGTTTGGATTTGCATTTTCATCCAACACCATTACTAAAGAGAAAAAAAAGTTTGTGGCAGTATACCATATTTTTTATAAAGAAAATAAACATATGACTAGCTATCAAATTTCACACAAACAGACCATAACTTTCTATATCACAGTTGCTCAAACATTTTAATCAAAATATTCCTTTATTATATCTCATTTAAATATACTTACCACACAAGAATATAGGTAACAATAAAAATAGAAACAAATATACCAACAAATTCTTGATAATATGATAATGTTATTTTGATTATGATGTAAGTAGCAGTGCAACAAACTAATAAATAAATAATTCCACTATCAAAAAATCTCCATAAAATAATAATGCCACATAAAGAACTTGATAAATTTAAGAACTGTGTGGGTGAAACATTTTCTCTATTCACTGCAATAAAAAAAAAATGAACTGATACAAAAATTGTTCTTTAAAGTTCATCCAATTACATTTTTCATCTCAATCTATACCTTTGATTTTAAGTACCGGTATGCACTTTGTTTATTTTGAAATAACTATAGGAGAGTCTAAGAGTTAAAACTGAAAACGTTTTTGAAAAACTTTAAACCAAAGATTATTCATCATTATAAGACAGAATTGAGTCACTATACTTGTTTTTATGAGGAACATTTTAAACTCACCTGAAGTAAAAACTGCACATAGGATTTTAAAAAGTAAGCATAATATAAAAAGTGGGATAACATGAGTGAAAGCTTGTGTTGCTGTTGGAATCATACATTCAGTATAAAGATCGAGAAAAGGTATTCGTTCATATTCCATTTGATTATCTCTGTGATAGGATTCCAATAATTCGGCTAACTCAGGACTGTATTCTCCTTGTAAATATCTTTCAAGAAGTTCATAATCTTCTTCATTTAATGTATCAGGATCAATATCCCATGGTGTGTCTTCCATTATGAAAATCTAAATAAACATTAAACTCTGGATCTTAGGATAGTGAGAAGTGTCTGAGCAAATCAAACACCCATTGATTGCAGTTGCACATTTCATTTGTATGCACAATTGTAATAACATAGAGGATATCTAGTACATTTTGGAGCCTTTGTGTACGAAAACCACAAAATCAGTGGTATAATATTATTGATTCCATGTATGTTAACTGCTCTTGTGTCACAATTTATTTACCAGATGGACACAATTTTCAGATAAATTGATAAAATAGACTTTACAGTAATCAAACAATTTCATACTAGCCAAATTTACATGCACAGTATTGCTTTCACTAGAATACTTATATATTTGAATATTAATGTGGTCATCAAAAAAATTAAAAAATTCACTGGTAACACCTATAACTGGTAAAATAAATACTTGATTGCTATGATCAAAACAAAACAGCTAAAAACAAAGAGCCATGGTCACCTCTACAAATAAGTTAGAAACCAAAGTTAATGCGGTAATCAAAAATATATTTACCTTCTTTCTGAGAAGTTATAACATCAAACCATCTTTAAATGTAAAAAAAAATCTGTGAGTCTGTCTATACACCTGCATAATAATTAACACTGTTTTCAATCATTTCCCCTGTTCCTTAACCAGAACTTTAAACCTGTAATAAACAATTACACTTCTATCAAAATTTGTTACAAACAACACCTCACTTTAATTAACAAGTTATTACTTCTGTCTCAATTGAACATCTTAACTACTAGCATTTAAACAGCAGTTTATTCACATATCTCTCTGTACGAACCATCCCAACTTTAAGTTTATTTTTGTATCATTTTTGGCTTTTTGTACTTATTTGAATACCATCTTAACATAGAAATCGGGAAACCTGAGTTCTAAAATAAACAAAATGATAAATTGTTTGATCGGCCCTATCAGTCGAAATGGAGTGTGATATTCTGCTCCTGTTTGGGCTAATGAGGATGGGCAATGCAATGTAGAAGAAGATTTTGCCAGGACAATGACATATACTGCTAGGCTTCCAACTGTCAAGCGATCTCTTCTCAGTACATGTAATATGGGGCTAAGTTTATTGTACAATCTGAAAGGGTACATCTTTTATGAACGTCAGACCCTCAGACCTGCATCACTGACTGCATTGGCTAGGTATATATTGTCTCAACCCATTGCTATGGCAATCCCATGCCATATGTCATGGCACCATAATGGGCATGAGCATAAAGCTAATCTACTACAAATATTTATATAGATCAGTGGCCTAGACTAGTAACCGGTAATGTAGGCTACTACCTACTATTCCTGGGTATCGTCAATCATGCCACGATACGATACGTATCGCGATACAAAGGTCACGTCACGATACGATACGATTACGAGTCACCGATCCGATATGGCCTATCGAGTATCGTGCCAGCACTACTAACTACACACTTGACATCCGACTGAAAATTGAATTCAATTCTTTCATTTTTTTTAAACACATTCTTCGTTTAGCATTCTGATTAACGCAGTGAGTACAGACATAAAATCCTGAAAGGGTTATTTTTTACTCAAACAGAATTGAATGTATTCACTATTCCATTTTAAACGAAGGTGCAACTACAAAAACTCTCTATTAAAGTCTGGATAACCTTGACAACTTCCGCGGAAGTAAATGGCCGAATTTGTATCACCAAATCCGTGTGATTAAATTATTTTACTTAATTACAAAAATCACCACTTGAGTTTACATTTGATAGATTTCTTACTCACAACTATTATTACTAGAAGTAAACCTTGCTGCATAGTTATTCCATTGAAAAATCGGCAGTGGTAACTATTTCAAATGAAATTTATCGGTAATATTTCAGTGTGAAACAAACTCGCCCCCCTGGATAATCAGGCTTTGAAATATTGTGAAATTTTGGATAAATCCAACAATATTTATCACAATTCATATGTTTTGATTTCAAATAATATAGTAATAGGCCTCCACAATGGGTGTTCCTAAGTTTTACAGATGGATCAGTGAACGATATCCATGTTTGAGTGAAACTGTCAAAGAATTTCAGGTAAAAATCTTTATTTTAGGCCCTATTGAGTACGACAGCACTTTATTCAGCATGCTATCCTCCATCCTGATTTTTCAATTTTTTTTCAGTATGATCAGCACTTACTATATCCTAATACTCAGCAGACTGTCCTTGACTCTGGTATTAAGGGCTTCCACAATCAGACTTTGTGGCCTAAGCCAGAGTTTTGTCTATCAAACTATATCTAAATGTTTCCATGTTTTAACCAAATTTGTGTTAGGCTACAGATTTGGTTGATCTGTTACCGTTTCGACTACAGGTATCAAGATTTGTTACCGTTTTGGTTTGTTACCGTTTTAACAGTAACTGAATATCGTTTTCATCACTGTCGTTCTAAATTCTAACATCAATTCTATGAGCTAAAGAGTAGCGTTGAAACGGTTAATCAGTTAACCGATTTCGGGTAGTATTTCACGGGTAACTGGGTCTGATTTGAGAAAATCGGTTAACCGTCAATTTTATAAGAAGTAAAAAGGGAGCAAGTTTGACAGAAAATTCGTCACTGTATGAGTCTTTAAGCTGTTTTCTTTAGTAAATAAACACCTTATTGATTGAATAATTGAGATTAATAAATCAAGATAGGGTATCAATGTTATAGTATGAGAGAATGTGACTTTAATGTTAATGAATGATTTATCTTTACAGCAAAAACTTATTACTAATATCCTAATTTGTTCTGACTTTCTATTTTCTCTCTTACTCTTCTTATTTCTTCTTGAGTTTAATTCTATAAATCTTTGTTCAGTGATCTTTCATCACCTTGTTGTTACATTCTTTTGGGATATTGGGATACCTGGTTACAGAGTCATTAGTTACCTAGCTTTTGTATAGTCAAGTCAGTTTGTACTTTCACCAAATTGATCTGTTTGAATTTCATATGGTAATCTGGATTCTATTGGATAAAGTTTATAGGTATGTTAAAGTGTTTTATAAGTATAAGTTTAAGTTTCATGTATAAAATTAAAGAATATTATTAGTAATTATATTAAGTTTTCATAAAGTAAACATATTTTTATATTTGCAAGATAAGTACCATTTATAGAAGTCAATTACATTAGTCTTTTAATTTTAGTTATTTGAATTAATGTCCTGTTTCAGGAATAAGTTGTGTGGTTATAATAATAAGGAGTTATAGTTATATTCATCTTTAAACCCCACTTCGGGTAAGAGTTATTTACAACCAATGTATTATAAATGTATGTCACTTTGCATAATTACTTATTTCAAATATTACTGCATTAGGTTTTGTATTATATACTGTTGGCAATTTCGTAATTGTAAAGATTTGTATTTTATTTGTATTTGTTATATTTTATAATTGTATATGATTATATTTGTGTATTGCAGGGTTTTTGATTTCTGTTTTGCACCTATAATAAAATCATAAAAGAACCCTGTCTGGTTATTTAAACTACCGCAGGCCACCCTATAACATATGGAGCCCGATAAATGGTTATGGTTTGATGGATGTTTTTGATATATACATTTTCATTGGTGGAAAGAAACGAGCATTTGCGATTATAAATCCGGCACCGGTAATGTGTTATGGATCCAGTGAGTGAACTGTACAGTGTGAATTAGTGACAATAAGGATATGATTCATTTTATGATTTCAAATATTAATGCATTAGGTTTTGTATTATATACAGTTGGCAATTTCGTTTATTGTAAAGATTTGTATTTGTTATATTTATAATTGTATATAATTGTTATATTTGTGTCTTGCAGGGTTTTTGATTTATGTTTTGCACCTATAATAAAACCATAAAAGAATCCTGTCTGGTTATTTAAACTACCCCAGGCCACCCTATAACATATGGAGCCCGATAAATCGAGTTGCAAGAATTGTGGTCAAGATTATCAGGCCTCTTTTTTGATATAAGTTAAACTAATTACTCGTTCTGAATAATCGCGTCACGATGGTCTTAGTTTGTTGACAGTCGGCATGTGCCACGGTTCATTGAATCTTATTATTTTTATTGTATTGCTGAAATGTAACACATTGTTTTTTAAGCATGTTCTACTGTTTTAATAAGTTTTGTTATTATTTTTATTATTTCAATCGGGTACGAGTTGCTTAGAATAAAACAGTAATAAAGATCGTATTACTTTTTAGTAACTCTCCTCTAATTGGCTGTTTGTTTCTTCTTGCCTGTCAATCAGCTTCATTGAGACAATTGTTTTATACCAGTTGTGGAACCAGTACACTGACCCCCACAACACAACTAGTAAAAAACCTTTGATCTGTTAGAGACTGTAGCATTGAGTGACAATGGTGCCAGTCTGTCTGAAATCTGTCAGGCCCGCTCGTAATCTTACATTGAAGTAATCTTACATTGAAGCAGACGCTACAATGGGTTGTTTGATATCAGCTGTCGATTTGTACCGACAATTCGCGGGAACTACCTAAAATCTTCCTGGGTACTGATTTACACTTACTCAAGTATTTTTCTACATTGCCAATTTATAAGGTACGCTGGATCTCAGATACTTGTGGACAGGATAACCTTTTATAATACTTGTCAGTTGACCGGCAAAATTTTAAATGCCTCACCAAAGGTTATCATGTCCACAAATACCTGTGGCTGGGACAAGAATCAATTAATAGTGAAATGCAGACCACAGTTTTAACTTACTCTTTTTCTTGAAACATCTTGCCTCACCAAAGGTTATCATGTCCACAAATACCTGTGGCTGGGACAAGAATCAATTAATAGTGAAATGCAGACCACAGTTTTAACTTACTCTTTTTCTTGAAACATCTTGGAGTAAAACGAAAAGTATTGGAAAAATATTTACATGCAATTTGCAGCTCATATAAAACTATATTGGTTTAGAAGTTAACCTCAAACAAAGTTACATTTTTAATTGTTGTAAGTTGTGTTGGCTTAATGGCATTATTATATTTCTGATTTTGTTTTGAATTACCGATAATCATCTTTTTGTTAATTTTGTATTCAAATAGATTCCTGAATTTGATAACCTTTATCTTGACATGAATGGTATTGTTCATGTTTGTTCACATCCAGAAGATGATAATCCACACTTTCGTATCACAGAAGAAAGAATATTTCAAGATATATTTCATTATATCGAGGTAAACTTTTAAAAAGTCTTAAATCAAAATCTTTATATATATTCAATCAATTTTATTCATTCTGTATGCCATGTTGTATAATCAACAAGGTCCATATATATGTAATAAAGCATATTTTGCAATGAGTAAAGCCATCATTAGTTTTAGTGGAATTGCAGTAACCACAGACGTCTGATTGAAAATTGGAATAGTGCAAATTGATGCTATACCGATATGTGTTTCCCTGTTACACATGAAAAATTTAGAAAACCTCTTTTCAATCCCTTTAAGCAATCGAATAAATTTCATTATCTTTTTTTTTTAATGTTTATGTGAATATTGCCTTCCATCGTTTCTTTCAACCAGTTTCTTTCCATTTCAGTTCATATTTCGAATGATTAAACCGAAAAAGGTTTTCTTCATGGCTATTGATGGTGTGGCTCCAAGAGCTAAAATGAACCAACAGAGAGGCAGAAGATTCAGGTACTTGTACACAAAAAGTCACATCAATTGTTCAAAATTTTTAATCTTGTGACATTGAAGGTGACATCCAATGTTGTAAATAATATCGTGCAAGCTGACTTATAATGTAAAAAAATGTCTCCCAAACTAGAAATCATTATTTTGACTTATTTGATTTTTTGAGGTTGCTTAATTGTTTAGTTTTGTTGTTCAGGATATTAAAACAGAAACATAAAATTAGATATGAATTATTACATATGAAAGGTCATTAAAATTGTTTTGAAATAATCTTATAGATCTGCCAGAGAAGCTGAAGAGCTTATCAAAAGAGCACAAATGGCAGGAGAGGTGTTACCAACAGAAAAAAGATTTGACTCTAACTGTATTACACCAGGTATATTATTTTACAGCATTACTGTAGTATCTTGTATTTTGAATCTTATTTTGGACAGACAATACCTTAGTCCATTAAAATAAACATAATGCCATCACTTGCTTGGTTAATTAGAGAAAATTTTGGTTGGCATGCAGAACATGCCTTTCCGCCTTTACGCTGCCAAATAATATTGGAAAGATCTTTAATTTCTAATTGGTAGAAAGAATTAAAGTGATCCTTTTAAAATTTTATATATTTTTCACCTTATTGTATGAATTTTTTTTATAATACATTTGACAAGGTTTTGCCTTATGGTACAGAGCGTAAGAACAATCGTTTTGTTATGTTTTATTTTAATTCAATAAAGACAACTTTTCTTTTCATTTGCTTAGGTACACCATTTATGGTTCGCTTACAAGAAGCATTGAAATACTTTGTGGTACAGAAAGTGTCAAATGATCCATTATGGCAGGGTCCCAGAATATACCTGTCAGGCCATGAGGTATAGATTCTCACTCTTGTTATAATTCTTTTACTCCGTTCACAAAGATGAAAAGGAATAGGATGTACTATATGAAAATGATATGAAAAATAGTTTTCTCTGCATTCAATATTGTAATT